GGCTCTGCAAAATACTGGTCTTCCTGTACTACCAACATGTGTCAGGCTTTATGTCAGTGACTCGAAGCATTCAGAAGATAGAATTCTCACATCGGTAGCTCAAGCGCTCATGCATCATGACTGAGCCTGGTTCCCTTTGACGCCGAACAATTCGGGAGCCTGAGCCCCGCTTGAGACTTCGCGATGTGCTATCGATTTATCATCCAATCCCATCGATTTCTCTATAGGTGCGTGTTCATACATGAAAATTCACCCTTCAATTTTCCCATGGATTGTAGTATCTTATGCTCCGTATAAAAATCGTACGGCCGTAATCCACCTCGCCCCTTGGCCTTTGATGATGTAGGAAGGGATCAAGCTGAGTTCTAGTCTCGATTCAAAACGCGCGTGCATGTTCAACTATGCAAGCCATGAGGGAGCACTTTGAAAGTGAATGGTGATACACAAGAAGTATGAGATGGTATGGGAGAATTTATAGAGGGAGGCTTATCGAAATTACGCGGGTGGAGCCGGTGGAGTGATAAAGCGAGTGTCAGAGTCAGTTAGCGGAAACTCAGATGGGCCAGCCACAAGGCGTAAGCAGGACGCAATGAATGGCACTGAGATTTACGCCAGGGCAGCAGCTCATGGCAAAGCGCCGGAGCTGCAGGAACGTTCGGTTGTCGATTGTAGGCACAAAGTGCGATCCAGACCATGCGACACATCAAGGAACAAAAGTAGGTACACCGACCTGCACGCAGGGCCAATGCTTCTGTGATCCTCACGTATCGCGAGGTCATCGGACCGCGATCAACGGCTCGAGATAGTACCTTCCAAGATACTGCATGTAACTTCAAAGTTCATGCTGGTGCCTGCGCACTGGTATGCTGGTGTCTACAACAAATTAAGATTAGTGGACGAAAAGTTTCGGATGGTCTGACATTCACGATGTAAATTCACAATGCGCCCAGATTCACCAGTGTCGATTACCGTAAATTTGAAGAATTGTACGTGAATTTGGGTGAATCAGGGCTATTCAGACTCACTTTTAACTGCAGCCTTCTTGATGAGTGGAGAAGCAGGGTACGTCGCTAGGAAGCTCGTTCTGGAATTTGTAGCGCCTGAAGCCGAATTATTGTGCAACACTAACACCGCCCACCAGGCTCGCAGCGCCATGTCCCTGAGGATAACGAAACAAAGGATTTGAAGGTGGCAACAGAGATGATGAAAGATGGCGAACCGGATATCTGCCAAACAAGGGGTTTGGTAAAGAGTGAGTGCAGGTGGCAGAGTGCCAATATTGCGATGGTATGCAGCTGATATCACCGTGGGAGACGATAAGCCCCTGATCCCCGTATATGTGACAGTCCAGTCGGACTAGCTCCAGGCCTCCCACTTGATGCGAACTCACATGCCAGTTGATGGGGATGGTGGTCGCCAATCGCTTTAGTTGAGCATCGCAGTGCCGAGTGTGTCGCCGCATCGCTCTTTGAAACTGGCCGATGTGCAACATGCTCTGAGCAAATCCTGGACTCGCTAAACTGACACAGGCTCGTAGGTCTAATCAAGAGATTCTTATCTAGGCGTAGTTATGCTCCTAATTGTGGTCGATCCAGTGCGTGACTATTAATAATTGTGACACGAGGCCAACACCAAGCATACGGATAACCCCTTCTGTCGATCTTCTGTGCTCGCTACTCCGCACTCTTACCGCACTCGTTCAGTACCTCGCCCAGTTCGTCCACCCGCCGTCAGCTACAATCAAAACCGATGCTTCTCTCAGGTTTCCTTCGCTCTTGGCAATCTGTTGCATTCATTTTAGTGTTATTGCTCTCATCACTCATCTCGGTTGACGCATGTGAGTGTTGCCAGGCTTCTCGTCACCGCGATCGGGACTCACAGAAAACCGGACTGGGCGTCAGATTTTATAGTGAACCAGCCTGGATCATCTACATCCTGGAAAAACGGCTCTCCTTATCCGGTCTCATGGACGCTTGGCTTGCAGGATGGCTTTGACACATTCGATATTGAGATAACCCGGCTTAGTCGAGGGGGTATCTATTTTGTAGCAAAAGAACGTAAGCTTTTTCATACTAGTTCTACCCAGGGCAACTTTGACCGTTTTAAACAGTGCCGGTTACTATGAGTAGCCTCAATGTTGTTCTTCAAGACGTACCAGCAGGCGACGACTATTTTCTTATTTGTATCAACTCCACCGCTGGCGTTACCTATTCCGTTTCCTCCCGTTTCTCAGTTGTGGACGCCAATGCCACAGGGAGCAACCCAAGCCCCGCTTCAGCCCCAACAGTGACCGTTAGTGGGGTACCTAACCCTCTCTCTCATTTTGCGCAGACATTCGGGCCTTCCACGAATGGCGTTCCACACCCGGGATGGTCCGGCATCAGGAACCAGATCACAGCCATTAGTGTGGCTGTGGGAGCTGCCTTGATTGGGGGCGTCATGATACTCTACTAATTTCTTCTCGCTTCATTATGGATTATTCCCTTTTTTATGGGTGGTCATTATTGTAGGCAATCGACCGGACATTTCATTTACATAAATACATTCCTTCGAGATTTGCACTTCACAGTTCACACTATCCTATTCTTGTAGTGATCGACTTTCTAATTGTTGAGATCATACACCCTATTGACTGATATCGCGCAACAAAAATGCAATGCACATATAAGTTATTGGCGCAGTAGCACGTTATCTCAAAATACATCAAATTCATTGTGACCAACTCTTATCATACATACACACTAGTACCTAGCCTGGAATCTACTGTCATTCACGGCGAACGTGAGACACACATCATATAGTGGGTTTCTGGGTAAAATACACGCAAAGTAAAGTCAACCGTCGGCAAGGTTAATGGTCCACTCGACGCACCTAGACATCCGGGGTATCAGGAACTGGGTTGCGGCGCCAGTCAAGATACCATCTCGGTTCCCCCTCCAAACTAGTAAACTTAAGCGCAAACGCTTTCTCATTCTCATGCACCACTCTCCCTGGGTCAAAGTTGCAGTAGAAAGACATCACTATAATCGGCTTTCCCTCCTTGCGGCCATACACGGGCGTCAGTCGGGTCGACTCCCCGAAGATCTTGCGGATGACGCCGATAATGAAGATGCGATTCCAAGCGTGATCGATCCCCTCGCTGCGAGTGCGATCGTGAGAGAGATCAGGGTAGAGAGGGCTCTGTTCTTTCACGAAGGCTTCGAGCTTCCCAAAGTCGATGGGATAACCAAACCAGAACAAAAGCGGTCTTGGTTTCTGCGAATGGGTGGGAACCGTAGGATAAGACACATCCGGGAGCGTGGTAGGGAAGTCAAAGCCATGTAGCTGGCGCGTGTCCTGCACTTTGTGAGGATAAAGTCAGTATAAAGTCGATTGACGTACCTTGCACCGTGCAGGTGTGACCTCGAAGGGGATGCTTGGTGTAGTCATGGAATCCGAAAGTATAGTGTAGTATCCCCTGAGACTAAATACAAGGTGGCAGATTAGCTTTTGACAATGGAGGACAGCTGCGCGTCATATAATGGGGCCGCAAGGGGAAAATCCTTGACGTTTACCAGTCTATACCCCTTGCGTCGAGCATTTTACCCTTGACATGACCAACGACAGTTTCGCTCTTTGACCCTAAACAGGCCTGGCCATGGACCGCCTAGAGCGAGGTTCGTCACGGTTATCTCTGTGTTGCCGACCGACTCGGATGTGACATAACGCAGATTTGTATTTCGTCTTCTATATGACGCTTTGTGAGATACTACACGGCAACATTTATGACCTATCTGAAGTTTTGAAGCTCGAGGTTGGCTTGAGGCAAAGCTGGCAAGAGCAAAGAGACTCTTGATTCCTGAACTTAAAGCACCGATAAAATGGCAATATTGGACTTGGGAGCCAACTAAGCCTTATATACATGGCCAAGATGACGCGTGATGGGTGAGCTGCATGTGGTCTGGGGTCGAGGCGGTGTGAAGTTCGGGGAATGGCGAAATTCACTCAACACGATCAATATTAACGCGATACACATGGAACCTGCCGTTATATGCTGCAGCCTCTGTCAGAATACCCTGACTGCTTGTCAACAATGGCGCCGGGACGTGAGCATGACGAGTCTCAGACTCATGCAATTCAGTCGTGACGCTATTTTGATAGTAGTCGTGCCAACGATGCATTTGCATCGTAGCTTACCCAGCTCGGAAGAACGATTCAGTAATTCGAGCTCAACCGTTGAAGGCATTTTCAGCTACCGCAAAGGGCCATGAACGTTACACTTCCGTAACCTCGCCGTCATCCCAGGTATCAATCAGAAGTGTGTCGACACAATCGGTACCGCTTCTGCACTATTGATAGGTCAGCTTGTAGGGAAAATCAAAAAATCTGACCAAAATTATACCTGGATCTCCGCAGCCTGGGACTTTTCCAACGCCTCAGTCAACTTGGGCGCTTGATTCGAGTCGCAGCCATCTAAACTCTTCCTTTTCCAATCTCTGGATGCAGGCGACGATTGATAATGAAACACCTTCAAGCTCGTGATGTATGCGAATAACGGCAAGTTGAACATAGTCTCGCATATCGGGCATAGGCCATGGATGAAAGGACGCACAGTGAGTTTTGACGAGAAACCATCAAGTGCAAATCCTCCCGCTACACGGAAGCGACTTCCTCGAACAGCACCCATCGATAACTTGTATGGCTTGGTACCGCCATCAAAAATGAAGAACTGCTTCTGTCGCAGAGCATGCTGTAGATCGACATAAAAATATTGACTTGCATGTTGCTCCAGTCGCAAGCTGTGGGTTCGACAACATAATGAGAACTCCTATGTTAAAGGAATGCCTGACCGTCACATTCCACGATCACTAGGGCAAACGATCTTCATCACTTCCGATTTGCAGTTTGGCCTCCACGTAAACGGCCGTAGGGCGCCAGATGTCCCAAAATGATATACAATCCTGCGTCTTGTTGTAATGCCGTTCATGGACTCTGAACTGTTCTGGACAGAACTACCAAACTGGGTCACCACGCGATTAAAGATCTGATGGATATTTAAATATTCAGCGCTCCGAGCAGTTAGAGGAAGGATGCGTACAGGAGCAATGAAACACGATCTGGCTTCTCCTGTGGTATAGTTTCGCAAAAACACCATATTGAATCAGTAAAATGGTCATATCCATTATGATCTCTTTGAAAAGCGTTGTATGAACTTGGGAACGATGGAGTTCAAACGAGGGAGCATTACCGAATTTCCGTAGAGGACCGAGGTTGCAGGCCAACGAATGGAGTAATGCCCGAGTATTTGACATCAAAAGAAACTGACGTTCATGATCAGGCTTGTTTCTGAGAATGTGTTGAGCCTCCACTCTAAACACCGAAGTAAGGGTCACTCACACCTGACGATTAGCTAGCCTTCAGCTCCTCCAAATCAAACTCGACTTTATCCATTAGACGTGGTACAGCAATTCCAGCTCACGTTCGACCATTCGAATGTTCACACCATGTGGGGGTAACGCAGATGGCATTCACATCTTCCCCGTTCTACCCAGGAAGTACTTGTGATGAATGTCCACTTCAGCATCCCAACCATTCAAACAATGAGATACAGTCGACGGGGAGGATCAGACACACGTGCCCCTTTCAGAAACGGGAATCGTTCGTTTTGAGACTGTCGTGAGCATTTTGTTGGTACTCCAACATCCGGTCGGACCTTTAAGGTGGCAATTCTAAACAAGGCAGCTAGCAAACTCCATGGCACGCCCGGACTAAAACCAATGAGAAGCATGGGCGATTCCGTGTAAACGAGTTGGAAAGGGTGTTGGTACAGGGTGGTATGATACAGTTTTGTGGGTGCTCGCGAGAGACTTTGTACCGGTATGTACACTATGCATGGAGGAACTACACGGGGAATCGTCAGTCTGGGAGCACACGAAGGAGCAGAACTTCACCGGGGGTCGCCCTTAAGCTTTATATCACTTCTGGTGACATTGACAAAACTGACACTTTATAGCTCCTGCACCTCATGCACACGCCCCAAGACAATTAGTCTCTGGTCTGACATATTCGATTTCAGTTCATGATACATGCACGAATGGTAAAAAGCGGGGCAAAAGTCTCCTAAGAGGGGCCTGGAAGGTGTTCTGGTGGAGGGAGAGGGAGAGGGGAAAGAGTGGACTACATGGTCCTAACCATAAGGAGCGTAACATAGCGCTGTTTGAATCATATGTTGCCAAAAGAAAAAGTTGCAACTAGGAGGATCCACGCTGACGAAGAAATACGAGATATAAACAGAAGATGAAGAAGAGCCGGGCGCAAACGAATGCCGATGACTTTGAAACTCGACTCGTCTGAAGGGCTTTAGTTGGATAACTCTAGTGTACAGCGGGAGGACGAGGGCATAAGACACACCTATGTCGGATTCAAGGACAAAGGCGAGATACAGACAAATAAAACAGTACTTTTGGCTCGCTGCTCTTGCTCCTCAAGTCGAAGTTTGAAAGAGATATAATACGGTTTCAAACTACAGGACATACCTCATTTAGATAGTGCTAGTGTCATTAGTCAGCTTGATATATGTGAGAAAGCTGACGAGTACTACCACGCCACCGTCGCCACGGCCTGCGGCAGTGCAGACGTCCTTGGTTGGCACTAAACGTCTATTGACTTTCCCATTTGTTGCGCGTGAAAAGACATCGTGGACAGCGCCTTCAGAGTAAGTTTCGTCCAGGATTATGACGCGTTAACCGTGACTTGATGCTGCGGTTCAGAGACGCATATCATAGACGATCCTTCTCGTACTACTGTGGACTATAGCATCGAGGTGTCCCTCAGGAACCTACCTCAGAATGAGAGTTCTCCTCTAGGCAGTGCGGAAATAGTCATTTGATTCTTTGCTCCTCGGTGGTCTCCAACTGGAACCGCTTCTAAGCATACCCCTTTCTTCAAGCTACTACCTCCATGAGTGTATCCAAATCATGGCAAACGGTACTACCACCAGTACCGGGCAAAAAGCAAGCATTTTTCGGTTCAAATTTCATACGAGCACTTTGGCCTTTGTCAGGACGAGGCTGACGGGAATGCCGAATACCAAGAGAGGTCAAGGATGTCGATAGCCCGAGTAAACTGCTGGCCTAGCTGTGCGACGTGGTGTGACAAGGACGCATTTTCGTAGAGGGCAACCCGGCGAAATGTGACGGATCACTCGTCATTGGCCCCCTTTGAGTCCATCGCCTCCTGCTGTGTCTATCGTTGGTCTCCTACGCAGTCGAAACATCATGCATCCCAACAATCTCTTACTCCGGCTATGCGATATGAAGAAGTGCGACATAAAGCACTACCACCTACGCGGTACATGCAGGTCGAACAGAGGATGATTATACTCACAAGCTGTCAACGGATCGACGATTTCTTCGGTCGGTCGCTCAAGGTCGATAGAGGTTCAATGCTCTGATCTCCTGCAAATAGATCATCAATTTCTTTGATCGGGAATACTTAAACTCAGCAAAAGAGCAATGCGCTCACGTCCTATCAACGGACGGGGGCGATGACTTGATTCAGGAAGGCTCGAGCTTGATGAGGGATCAACATAATCAAGGGCTGCAAACAGTGAGCAATGACTTGGATCAGTGTGGCTCGAGTTTGGATGAGGATCGACACACTCACAGTTTGCGAATGGGGGGCAACGACATTGATCAGCATTGTTTGTTTGACTCGAACGAGGATTGACACACTCATACCCTGCGAACGGTGGGCAATGATTTGGATCAGGATCGACACACTCACTTCCTGTGAACGGTGGGCAGTGACTTGGATCAGCATGGCTCGAACTCGAATGAGGATTGGTGCACTCACAGACTGCGAACGGTGGGCAAAGACTTGGATCAGCATGGCTACAGCTTGAAAGAGGGTCAATACACTGATGGACTGCGATCAGTGGGCAAAGACTTAGATCAGCATGACTCTTGCTCGAACCAGGATCGACACACTCACTTCCTGCGAACGGTGGGCAACTTGAGACTTGGATCAGCATGGCTTCACCTCGAACGAGGACCGACACACTTACATACTGCGAACACCAGGAAACAACTTGGATCAGCATGGCTCTTGCTCGAACGAGGATTGACACACTTACTCTCTGCGAACGATGGACAACGACTTGGATCAGCATGGCTCTTGCTCGAACAAGGATCGACACATTCACATACTGTAAACAGTGGGGAACGACTTGAATCAGCATGGTTCGAGCTCGGAGTATCAACACGATGCCATGTCCCAAACTCTGTCAACAGTTCTTCAGCCGCTGCACCATCAATTGGTGTGTTTTACCAAGACGTAATTTGCTGACTTTGACCCGCTCTGTGATTTGACCTATTTCATGGCTCGCGCCATGATGCATCCAGGATGCGAGTGAGCCTTTACGGCGTGTCGTTGGAGCAGGGGACAGCGGACATAGAGTAAGGCAAGCAAGGTACAATGATAGTGATGCTAAGGTATGAACATCGTGGAATTTTGTCTGCATGCTGACAGCTGTGGAAACCGCCGTGGAGACCCTGAATGTGTAGTCCCTGCCCGTAGACCCCTGCTGCACCATTTGCAAGAGACTTCGGAGCATCCGGATGTGCAATCGCATCACTTCGTGATAAGGACAACGTTGCGCCCTTGCTTATCAAAATCACTTGCAGCAATTCACTCGCCACAAATTTTTCCGATCTCAATCACCTCTTAGATCTCGCAAATTCATCATACCTCCTTTGGGTGATTCGGCTGGATTGCCAATTTGCAGCGGGAAAGTTTGGTTGCTACGAGCCTCAAGGGCACTGGCATCTAGGATCTCAATCGAAGTGACAAGGACAGACCAGGCCAAGGAGTGACCGATAAAAATGTTTGTACGTTTCCTTGATGCAGCAGGCATAGAATCTACACGATAAACTTGCGACACAAACCTAGCTATTCCTTGAAATAACAATTATCATATGTTTATGACATTCTATCGCTACAAGATATACTACTGTTATGAATAGCTCGAGGTCGAAATAGACATAGAAATTAGCATTCTGCTGTCTCCACCAAGCGATCGCGTCAAGATCACTGCGTGGTACAAAAGACCTTGTGTAACAATGCATGTCATGATTCATAATTCCTCTAGACCAGTCAGAATACATGTGTTGTACAGTGGGTGCGATAAGTTCTTACATTAATGTCTTTGACATCGTTTACAACTGTTGGAAAAAGCAGAAGCCGACCGAAATCTCGCCTTTGTTCGGCGGACGACCTGGACTGAGCTATAAACCAGTCCAATGGTATTCGCGCGCCTCGAAACAAGGATCGATCAAGCGTGTTGTACAGTCCGCGTGGGTTCGAATGACCACAGCTTCAAAGAAGAGTCCTTGACATATGGAAGTGGTCGGCACGTTGACACTGCGATAATATTCTGGCTCTCAGAATCCGACTCCTGGTCTGTTGAATCCTCGTCGGAGCTATTAGAATCACCCTCCCTCATATCCTCATCAAAATGGCGTGAGCCCGATATTGACAAGAGATTAGAACGTAGGGGATGAAATGTCACGCAGCCAACTACATCTTCGGTCGCAAACATTAGTTATAAAGGGATGAAGAAGGATATTTGATATACTTGCCTCCGTGTGCGTTGAAAGTCGTCTTTGGGGCGATGTTCTGTGACGAAATCACTGGCGACTGTTCAGAACCCAGTTCGTCCGAATCTTCAAGGTCAAACATCGAAACACATCCATCCTACAACCAGGTTGTTAGCCAGAAAGCCTGAATGACAGATACCTGAGAAATCGAAGTACCTGATCACCGACGCTTAACCATCTTCCAGCGTAATCTATGTCGAATTCTATTTTTTGATTAGTCCGGGTTTTGCGAGGACCAGGGGCTGTCTTGAAGACTTTTACAGGTACAGATGTATCACTGCGAAGATCCCATGCATATATAGCATCGTGTCGACGAAATGCAGCATATAGAAGGTGCGGTTTTGTGGGGTTGAACTTTAGCTGCGAGGAATAAGATCAGCTTTACTACTAATTCTTAAGGCGACATGCCTGCGTGACTCCGGAATGAGAATATGCGCCTCCTACAGGCATTATAGCTGCTTGATTTGACTCCGAATACAATGCAATATTATCCATCGCTTGTGAGGAAGGCGTTAGGCTGCCGATCGCGTAATAGTCATAAGAAGAGGAGAAAGCTATGCTAGATATGATGCCTGACTCGAAAATCAGATCAAAATCTATACGAGTAGTAAACATCGCATCCTACCTTTGAGGCCATCCTTGCTTTTCTTGGAAGGCGTGGTTGGGAGCCGATCGCCCTCTCCAGGTTGTTGTATGTCGAAGATCTCGATAGCATCTTCGAAACCACAGTATAGTCTGGGTGTGCGTGATGCACATGGTGATTACTATCAAATACAAATGGAACTTAAATGGCAGGCTCACTTGTCAGCTGTCAAGTTGAATGCGAGACTATGAGGAGCGATGAACCTCTCGCGATGATCGATGATCGGGTATGAGGCCCTCAGCTGGCAAGGTCAATCAACAGTCTGACGAAAATGTATATGAACACTACCCTTCCATCTGAAGCATCCAGAAGCTTCACTGGACAATCACGCACAGAAGCGACGAAACAGTAAGCTGGAGCGTTATTGGATGATGCTCCAGGATACCAAGCAAAATTAACAACCGCTGAGGACTGCGAGAACGTACGCTTATGGTGAGCGGAGAGCTGTGTGCCTTCAGGGTTGTTTGGGTGAAAAGGCTAAATCATGTACAACACGACTGACTTTGAACGTCTGGACTTGAGAATTTCTATATCTGAGATTGTAGATGACTTGGAAAAATAACGATGCTTACATATTGAAGAGCTGAAACGACCTGTTTTCGCACTGGACGAGGAAGCTGGATCCATCTGCACACCTTCAGTGTTTCGATATTTGAATGGTGCTCAAAGTGGTTGACGGAAAGGCGTACCACCTGGCACAACGAGCGAAGTTGTCTGCAAAATCAGGATCCACGTCCAGATTTTTTGTTTGGACAAGATCTGGAGGGTAAGAGACGTCAAACTGAGCAGGTTTCCACTCCATTTCATTTGCTGAGCCGCGACTAGTACTAGTAGTAAGTCATGGGGTTTGCCTTGTAAGGTTGGCAACGTTACATAATTGTATCGCCTCAACTTTGCTCCAACTACATAGCAGCTCGTGACTTGCGCTGTCCAGCACGAATGTCAACTTGATTATTGCCGTCAAATCAATGGCTCAAGCAATTGGATGACGTTCGAATTGCTCCACACATATGGTCCATGCTATGATCCATCACGGATGTCAGAAATTACAACTAGTGCTATCCTAGGTGAAGACTGATGTTCACCATCCATGCTAAGCCCTGCGCCATCGAGTCGAGGCACTGCTGACAGTGTGTATGAGCGACGAAGTTGACATCATCCCTCATCCTTACACACCTACGATGATGGCCAATCGACTCAAGCGAACTCGCAGGAGGAATGATCGTCTTTCCACCATCAGGCTGTGAAGGCGAACTAGCATTATTTGAGTCTTCTTCTATATATCTATGTACTTTGATCCCGACTCACTACTGACTTGCAGCCAATTCTTATTTTGGGTATAGACGACGTCCAACATCCAAGAAACATGCTGATACCTGTGACACATGTCCTCAAGGATCGGAAGGAACAGGACATTATAGTGTCAATCTCGATCCATCGACCGCAGATCCATCGGTGCTGCCCTGATCATCCTAGGCCAGGTTGAGATTGAAGTACTAGAGGACTTGTTAACGCTTCAAAACGCTGTAAGTGAAGTGCCCAATCTTTCGAGCGCACTGCCCATGCAAGGCTGACTCGTGAATCAGTAGCTTGCGATACTTACTCTTCGATTGGTTCAACTTTCTCTGGTGTTACAAAAAGACACCAGAGCCTTGTGAATGCGATTAACTACTTCGTGCTTATCCTAGTACTGGCGGGGCACACTGTCGACTGCAAACGGACCCCCATCTCATCACCCACCGCGTCCTTGAAATTTGAAATGTATGCACGTGATTATCTTGAGCTCCGATTTCATTTTAGTTATCTACCTCGGAGAAGGTAGTCACATCTCTGGCACGAGAATACTCTACTCTGGCTTCTGCACCTTCTCGATATGTATTTCCTCTCCCCAGTGATATCCACGCTTGTAATGATAGACAGCGGAAATTGATGACGGCAACTCAGAAGCCATTTCAGAAAAGAATTGAACCAGTATTGGTTCTGCAATTACCGTCCGCTTAGCGCGAGCGGCGAGACGCGAGCATTTTGATGGTTCGGTAAGAGACAACATATCGAATGACTACAATGATATCTATTGCAATAGCGTCGGTATTCTTACCCGGTCTTCCTGTACGGCTCTCGGACCCTTGTGCTTCGGCGACCAAAGATCCTCAAGTGCTCGGTCCGTGTTTGATCTTCACCTCTTCGGTTTTCTTTCAGGCACAGCGAGAGCCTTGTCCCGCGTATCCAAGGAAAGCCCTGATCTTAGCACATGGTTGCATGGTTAGTTTTTATCAGGATCGCAAGGAGCAGCTCATTGTGCCATGGAGGAAATCCGAATCTTGATACATCAATCGCAGATCAATATCGGCGCTGTTATCGCTCTCTCCAGGTCGGACTAGTAAAGGCGAACTTGATGCCTGGAAAGAGCTTAACTGATCTTTCTATCGGATTGCTTGGTAGTGATCTGTTGCGGCAGAAAAGAGCTGCGGACCAGCAGCTTGGAATACTCCTCGATTTGTTCAAAGTCTTACAGAATTTTATTCGTAACTTCTACGCTCGACGCGATGTCAATACCACTACGAACGGACCTAGATCTCTTCATCCTTTCATCCAGACATCGCAGCTGTCACTTGACACTGAAAATTCAAAATACTAATGCCGCCTCGTTGAAAATACCAATGCATGCCTACACTTCTTCTCCCCCTTCGCACATATTCATCGCACGTGAATGTCTCGAGCTCCGATCTGGTCTTTCATTTCAGTTATCTATAACCTCAAAGAAGGTGATCGCATTTCTGGTACGATAATATGTCTACTCCTCTGCAAATTCTCAATTTGTCTTTCCCCTCCCAGAGATCTCAACGCCTGCCGCGAATAAAGAAATTGATAACGGCGTCTTGGGGCGCTACCAGACGTTGAAATTCAGAAAAGAAAAGAACATACGATCGACGTTAACGGTGGTGTCTGATTGGACCTTGCTTTCGGCAAATACTTACGGGTTTACATGAGGCATGATATTCATTTCCTTTGTGCGTTCTTGGCCTAAACTTTAAATTAGTGATCTCTGCGTAATGGTCCCAGGGTCGTGCTCGGCGAGAAGGCACTCGACCATTACTCAATTCTGCAAGTCGTTGAGGCCTGTAAAATGGAACCAATATTAATGTCCATCTGTCGACGTAAAATACTCGACTATCCAGGGATTCTACGAACAGGAACTTTCCGAACCCATCATCCATCATCTTCTCCATCTCCGAATGTATTGGAATACAGTTCGCTGCGGTTACGAGGAAGTCGCTATGGAGGGGTCGCTTGGTTTTGAGGTTTCTTCTTGTCTGCGATCATCATCGAATAGATCATCATGTGCTATTGCTCGGGATCAATCAAAAGCCAGCTTGTCCTTACCCGGCTCACGCTTCTCGTCCAACTTCCAAAGAAAAATCCCTGATGGATAGATAGATAGAATGTTCTTGACTACCAACTTCATCCAATACGACAAGATGTGAGGTACGCATGATACCGGCACTCCAACGATCAAAATTCTCCCCGGGGGATGTCGCCATTCTTGTTCTTGAGATCCCCGCCTAGTACTTGGACAGGGGCAGAGAATGCTGAGCGTTGACCAACACTTGTATTTGTCCAATCTCCAATCGCTCGGACCGATCCCATGTTGCGAGGCTCGATGTTTGACGTTTGACCGTCACCTCCGTGATGAACACAACCAGAAGCGTGGGCGTTCCTCCATTGCGCAGTTGGTCGTATATACTTTTTTTCAATTTCAAGTCTTAGCGTGTCAACTCGTGTATTCCGAATTTGGTTTACCCCTGGAATGAGAAAGGATAAACGTGTGCCGTATTGATTCGCCACTTCAAGCTATTGCACTGTTACAGAAACTTTGAACACCACCACAGGACCAGCGTACCTGAGATGATAAGCCCGTCTAGAACACGAACTCCACACAGCGATAGAGGCGACTGCCAAGTTTACCGCCCATTTCACTCTTAAACCTGCGCTCAAACGAGAACCATTAGATAGATATAACCATCTCCATTGGGGGGCTTGATCCGCGAAGCCCTTCGCGATGTTATGTACGTATGTTGTAAATGAGAATACAAACGACTGAGCTAAATGACGAGGAATCATCTTCCAAAATATACACGGATAGACGTGAGGGAAAAGAAACCTGGTGCGTTTGGAAGAGTGACATACGCAGTAGCAATATTCACGATGGTGGGTAGGGATATGAGGGTGAAGAAGTACAATGGAGCGGGTAAAAGAAAGGAACGTAAGGAAATGGAGGAGTACAAGGAAGGAGTACGTGATACAATGAAACGGATTCACTGGTGAACCCTTATCCCAAGGCATGAACAGAGCTAACGAGACCCGCGTAGAGTCGATTACAGTAGAAGAAGCACCGATACACAATGGAGATGAATTGCGTGAAATTGGTATGACTCTATGAGTCTAAGCTGCGCAAATGCCTTGAGCGAGCGTGCCAGAATGGGTAAACAGAGATGACGAGATAAAAAGATTGCGCAAAGGACGATGAAAAAGATGACACCAAGGCCAACGAGCAAAGAGAAGACATGCGATGCGTGAACTCTACATTTGCAAAGGGAGAAACAGACAAGACGGGATAAATTGTCGTGAAATGGCGTGAAATCGTGTCAGTGCGTTCAGAGTCGTGCGTCAGATGAGGAATGCGATGTCGATGTCGATGCAGGAGATGATGATGGACGAGAGGATAGGAAAAAGACGTCCGAGACAAACCGAGCGCAAGACGTAGAATGTTGCTACATCCAACTGTCTAGTACTGCTGCATGTTCCCCGTCTCGTAGTACTCCCCCTGTCCATACTCATACCCATGCTGTACCTGCTCACCCTCCTGCGGGAGAATCATCGGGGGATGCAAATAGGTCGCGAAAAGACTCTCTTCCTCCTGCGGAAGCATCATTGGCGGGTGCAGGAAATCCATCCCGTGTCCATGCCCACCACGCCCATGCCCATGTGCGTGTCCATCAGAGATTCCAGCAGCTTCAGGTAACATTGGAGGGTGCACGAATTGCGGGCTGCGTTCAGCACCGCCACCGTTGCTAGAGTGGTGCCAGAACGCGTTGTTACCGTTCCCTCGGAATACGGTATAAGGGCTGAAGAATGGGAAGTCCATGCTGCTGCGTCGCGAAGACGAGGAAGTACCTGCGCTTGTCGCACCAGAACCCGTTCTGAAACTGTCTCCTCCATAAGAGGAGTAAGAAACCGCGCTGCTAGGCGGCTCTGACACGCTGTCAGTGCTCATACGACGGCGCTTGGCAGTACGCCCAGTCGTATTAGAGTTCGAGTTGGCGTTCGCAGTGGGATTGGTGTTGTTATTAGAAATGTTACCGGCACTATTGGTATTTGGAGACGCGTTAGATGAAGACGCGTTAGAACCCACTTCCCCGTCGATACTGTCGACTCCAGAAAATGGTAACGCCTCGTTTGTGCCACTACCGACGCCAGCCATACTGGGCGGCACCCAGTTTTGGCTAAGATAGTCTGGGTGGTATGGCCCAGGGAAGGGGTTATACACCGCATAGGTGTCACCCAGCGCACCCATCAACTCGCTGCTGCCTCCCATACCCGTACCCACCATTCCTGCACCTGCTCCCATCCCCGCACTCATGTTGTGCGAGGCAACAGGCTGAGTGGTACTGTCTGGTGCTAGAATTGGCGAAGGCGAAGGCGTAGGGCGGCGTGAAACGCCTGGAGACGCAGAGGGCGTCTGAGTTTGAGAAGGAGTTTCGGAGGGAGTGCCTGGCGTGTTAGAAGCGCTTGGGGGCTCAGTGAGGGAGGAGCGCTGTGCACGAGCGTCGTGTCGAGAGCGCTTCCGAATAATATCGGATTTCATACTAATGGGACGAGCAGAGCCGTGAAGCTTGTAGTAGAGGCCGCATCTGCATGTATATGAGAGATTGGTACGAATATAGAAGGAACAACAAATGAGAACTTACGCGTTGCAAACGGTCTTGCCTTCATCGTCCTTCCTCCACAAAGGGGTTGCAGTCGTGTGACAGTTGTAGCATTGGGCGCTGCCTGTAGACACGTAGTTAATATATAACCCCTCCCAAAAGTCCACTTGAAAGGGTATCGGACTTACCAATGATTTCCACGACTTCACCCCTGCCTGAACCTAATCCCATGCCCGCAGTAGCAGTCGCAATGGCAGTCACAGTTGTAGTCGCAGTGACACTTGGGCCTGCACTCGAACTCGAATTTACACCAGCACCTTTGACTGAACTTGCGGTAGCGATATTTGAACTCCCGTTTATACCTGCACTTGGACTCACACTCGCAATAGCACTTGCACTTGCAGCTGCCGCACTCACACCGGGACTCACCACCTCCACGACCGGCGTCGCAGAAGAAGAAGAATGCGGTGGCGCTGCAACCGAGGACAACGTGGACAACGCAGAAGCCAAAGACGACGCACCACCGCGTCGTCCTTCTCCATGACTAGCACGCATGGACTTTGGACGCGGACGTTTATGCTACCAAAAGGAAACAGAAACGAGACGTCCGCTCAGCAAAGTCCATACGACGTATATATATGAAATAACACTCACCAATTTGCAATACAGACCGCAAGCGTTGCAATTCAATTCGTCGTTCAAACCTCTTCGCCATAGCGGGGTATGGGTAGCGCCGCAATTGCTACACTCAGCCTTGACGCCGCCGGGAGCGGTAAGTGTTGCTTTTCCTCCACCCGGTGCAGCGCCTCCGAGGGTGAGAAGTGGATTAAGGCTTGTTGCGGTAGCGGAAGCAGGTACTGTCGCAGTTGCAGTATGTTTCGCGCTCGCAGCAGCAGAGTGCTTGAGAGCAGATACTGAGGGAGCAGCAGACGAGGGACTCTTCACGCTCCCAGAAGCACGCCGTCCAGCTTTACCAGTCTTCTTAGTGGCAGACGTTTGTACAGTTAGTACAGGACGATTTGTGGGCGTCTTGCTGGAACGGTCCTTGCCACGAGTACGCGGGTGCGATTGAGCGTGAGTATGAGAGTGAGAAGGAACTTGCGGGACCGGAAACGGATCAGGAGTAGAAGGTTGAGGTTGCTGCTGCTGACGAGAATCGCTCATGAGAACGTCTTGTTCAGCAGAAGCTGCTGCTGCAGACCCGCCAAGGAGGGACTCGCCCTCGGGTTGGGTGGGGACATTATTACCGTTGCCGCTACTATATTCGTCGTACCGCATGACGACGTCACCTTCTTCGTTTCCGTCCTCCTTCGTATCGTCTAATTGCTCGATGGGGGCGTCAGCCATTTGGTCGTCTTCGCCATCGTACTCCTCGCCTAAAAGTTCGTCTAGGGGAAGTTCGATAGTCGGACGGTAAATGCTAAAACCAGTTGCGCAGCCACCGCTGACACCTTCCCCGTAGCTCATGGGGTTAGATAGGGTGGGGGTAGAGTAGAGGATAGCAGTCGGACCGAACGAAGTACTGAAGATGGGAGGGAAGTGAAGTTTTTCATACGAGGCGGCAAATTTTTCGTAAGATGAGTCGTTAGTGGTAGAGGAAGAAATATCGTTCTGGTTGGATGCGGAGTCGGAAGAGGCATGATTAGTGACAGAGGATCCGTCACCTCTCCTGCGCCTGCGACCCTCTCTGAACTCAACGCTAGGCCTGAGGTCTGGCTTGGTGGGGGTGGAGCCTTCGCCAGAGAAGGTGTAGGATGAAGATGAAGTTGCAGGGAATGAGCCGGGGGGAGCGTCGATACTGAATGTAAACTGCATTCGCTTAATGGTACCGGGCCGGGCGTTCTGGGAAGCCTCTCGGGAACGTTCGCGTTCGACTGCGCGTTGACGGATGAGGTCAGTTGAAGCGTTTCTTTTGAAGTCGGGTGCTTCGAGAGATTCAATAGCACTATGGAAAGGAATTAGTTTAAGAGGCTGTAGGAGGAATGAAAGAAACATACCGGCCCTTCTCTTTGTCGAGTTTGTCACCCATGTTCTTTGACAACTTCTTGAATTCGCGTTTGGACTTTGCATTGTCGGTGTCGACCATTAGGTTTTGCAAGTGCCAAAGTCGCCAAGAAAGATTCTCGAGGCGTTGGCCCTGCTCGAGATATGAAGCGACTTTAGTGCATACCTATGAAAGGGGTTAGTAAAAATATTAAACAAGATTAGATATGAAGATAAGTACCTTCCAAGTTTTTGTGAGTGACTCGGTGTCGCTCAAGTTGCTAAAAGCAACAAAGGACTTGTTACCCTATACACAGGAATAGCGTTAGCGTTAGCGCTTTCATGAATTAAAAAAAGGCTGAAATGACCTTGAACTTGAGGTTGACTATGGACGGCATGGACTGATGAACGTCCAGAGGAACAACGAGGCAAGTAAACGTTAAGTTGCGGTGTGCTTGATCAGAGTATAAGAAGACTTTGATTGGAACGGGGAACCCAGGCGTAAAAGTCTGATGCGGCTGTTTTGCTTACGAGATCGGTTAATAGCACGAGGCCCATCAAATATTTCATTTCGTAAAAAATTTATGATTGTTGTTATTTTTTTTTTGTTTTGACCCCTCCAATCGTACCGGGTATCCGTGCCTCGACAACGTGTCCCGGTAAGCCAATTGAAAGTGAACATAAATTTGCATTGCAGTAATTGAACATTGTAATTGCATACGACCGCCTTTACCCGAGTCATCCGTTCTATGGTAAGTACTAGTCACATCGTTGGAGGTGAACTTCGTTGACTTCTCTTCTCAAGTCAAAACTTATACCAAGTTAGGTTACTGACAAGTACGCCTCATGTTCTTCACGATGCTATTTCATCTCCTCCACAACAAACCCAATCTCAATGCCCTATACCCTGCAATCCCGGTTCCCCGGACGACTTGATCCTTAATTAAACGAATACTGCACAGCCTTGCATCAGACATCCATCCATTCCAGGTAGCACCCCTGTCGTTCAACCAACTGACTGCCTCGAGGCCATCCCGCGGTCATTTCGCTCAATGTCCCAAGCCCCACCGTGCCGCACAGTGCCCGGTCTTCTCTTCTTCACTCCCACAGCACTCTCTGCCGCCGGCCGATTCCCCCCGTCCTATATTCCATCCTCTATCCTTCTTATTTCGGCCGTCAATTTCATCCATGTACCAAGCTCATCCATATGATGGTCGTCCAGTACTCCGTCACTGATCACCGTCGTCCCACTAGCATTTTTTACTCCCCCAATAACTTCTCACGTCGCTTTTGCATTTGCTCTCTTCACTCTCCAGGTATGGCCATCGAATGACAAAGGGGAATCTACCCCTCCGCTCTCGCACGTTTCTCTTCCACCACTCGTGAGCAGCCAGATGGTCTATCTTCAAATCGTCACTTTCATATCTTCACTCTTTTCGGGCGGAACAAGTACCATTTCATATTCTGGAATGTTCAGCCATATCCAGCTCACCAAAGGACTTTCCCCTCATACGCCCGACGATCTCCGCCCTCTTTTATGTACCGCGATAACTAATACGTGTGGGGGAACGTCCCTCCTTTCATAAACAGCGTCGCCACCGTCAGGGCATCCCAATATCTCCTATGGGACTCCGATCCTATATACATAACGTCAATCACTCGCCACGGGGCCTGAACCAGGCGACCCTTCAAGCTCCACCATTCGTAAGTCACTCCTACAATAATCGTCGCTTGGGAAACTCACTACCAAAACAGTCTTCGACTGACACGTACATATGTGGAGTAGTACGACCAGCTGAGTTCATATACCATCAACATACGGCATAGGCTCTTCGCTCGGCCGCTGGTAAGTTGCCTTTCTTTTGGGTTTGCTTATCGTTACTCCAAAGACGTACATTCGGGCACTCCTACCAATAAACGCCAAAGTCACCGAATTAATGGCATCGCTGACTGACTCGCCCTATGAGCAATCACTGCTCGCCCAATTATGTATTCGATGTCACTACTACTCCCGGGGCCCGGACCTACTCGTCATTGATACTCCACTATCGTGAGCTTATAATTATCTAGGTGCAGCATAATCCCAACGAGCCAGGCTTCCCCTCCCACCCCCAGCTCATACATTACGATCAAGTACTAAACACCACTCCACAATTCCAAAGTAAGTTACATCGATCTCCCATAATGATCACTAGCCTCGATCGGGATCGCCGTACTGCGGATTTGACACGCAGTCATTAACGTACATACGTTATGTTCATCTCAGCGGTCGTCAGATAGGGGGACGCCATGAATATAAGTGGACGTCGTTGTATCTTTTTCTCGCAGATCATGAATGAATATCCGCCGCCAGTGCTTCCAAGGTCTAGAACCAAGAGCATGAACCACGTTGTCTGTACTTGGCTAAATCATCGCACCATTGTACCTGCCGACTTGGATAAAGAACGCCTACGTCGGACTAGTGCATGTCTTAAATCGTCCGTATATATGGTATGGCGTATGAGATAGACTATCTTATAACGCCTATTTTCGGGTGCCGCAATTGTTCATCCGCTAGTGACGGTACTTACCTACTGAGTCTCTGATATGATTCAAGATTTTCTGCCTCGAGCCTCATGGTCCAACGCCTAGAACTTCATCTTCATACCCCTTGGAGCGCCGTTCATCACAACCAAATCAACATTTATGACCTCATGTCCGGGTACGAAGAACCCAAGAAGTCAGTCAGCCATGGATTCCACTGGCACATGTACACGGTGTTTTGTAAACAGTAGTTATTCTCACCAGAAGAACCAGGAACTAAAGTTAAAGCCATCGCGGCAACATTCAAGTTAGGAGCAAGGGCGCATAAACGCCAACTTTAAATGGAATACGCGCGCCTCCGTACTTCCATGATGCAAGGTACATTATGACTCGAGTGATCATAAGTGGCTCGTCGGACGAACATAATAATGAAAAGGCCCATCAGACGACCCTGGACGTGTATCTGATCTGACCATTCGAAAGACGTTACTCACGTACGATCGATTATTGTTCGTGCGAGTCAGCTGCAGATGAAGATTCATAAGTACGCAAAGCACGTACAAGGATCATTCACATGACTGGGTGGTTCCATATACAGAACACGTCTTCATGAGTCGTAATCAGGGGCATGAGCAAATGGGAATTCGTACGTATGTGATAGGACCCTGCGTTCGCAAATGAGGAACGTCGTACGTTAAGGCGGTCGGCTGCGTCGCCGATGGATTTTAGCGCGGGTCACCGGTAGGAGATACAAGTAACCCCCCGGCACGCCAAAATAGAAAAAAGGCCAGCACCAACGCTCTGAACCAAATATCAAACACATAGTCACTAGTAGTCAAATCCTGACCGTTTGAAGCATCGTCCGAAACAAGACTCGGACAAATGTGTGGATGGTAGGATGAAAGGTAGTGTGCCGTACGCACTGTAGTTACCCCATGGTTACACCGAGATTATGATCATGAAAAGGTTCAACAAAAGGAATGGCGACGGAGTTAGGAGCCGAGAATTGTGTGTTGTGCTGTACTGGTGCGGGCGGCGGGAAATATATTCTTTGTCCGGACATTGAACCTTACCGGTGTAGACTCGCATGAGATTGTACTAGTACGTAGTCTTGCCGGTACTTTGCCGGTGCTACTGATCTAGAACATGTCTCCCGTGCTGGTCGGGCATTGATATAGCTTCCACAAAAATCGGAGCTTGACCTTTTGAATACGCGCCAAGACCCAAGGATGCAGTGCGTGGCATACCACGTTCTGCCCCAGCGTTTTGCGGTATTTTGAATCTCGCCGGATGGTCCGTCCGAGTATGGGGCGCTATAGCAGATGCTGGAAAGGCGTCCACGAGGTAATGGACAGATGATGATGATCACGTACTTTGAAGAACCGCGACGCCAAAGGTCAATATTAGATTTGGTCGAGTTATTGCTGTGAGTTGGTTGCGAGCATGAGTTGAAGCAACTGAACTGGCTGACGAATCAAAAGACTTGAACTATTTCTGAGATTGGTCACGTGGTATTACATCAGCCAACTTGTTCAGTTGTTTGTGCCCAAACGAGTCGTGTACTACTAATCATGCTTGTAATTGACTGTGAGTTAGGTTTACAGCCCGACTTGAGAACTGACGACAGTTGTAGTACTGTTTGCCGCAAGGTTCAATAATAGTAGTAAGTAGTAGTCCAAAGTCTGATATACGACTGGTTATCTAGGGATATCATATCAGCGAAGAGGCTGGCAGCGCCTAACTTTGAAATTATCTCCCGTACGTTCCATTCCATCATCGTCCGCACCCACCCACCAATTTATAACCCTGCTTATCATCCGCACGCTACATACCTGTCCAATAATCCATCGATTACCCAACCTCCAGCACAAGCGACAACCGGCCATGCGGGCAATCCCAATTCCAAGGCCCTCGCCTCCGGCCCCCTCTAACAAATCCTATTTCAGTTCCTTCAAGGAAGAAGCCTGCTCACGGCACAAACAGTCCACATAAGCCTCCGCATCCACGGCAGGGTACAAGCACTCCCTACATTCGCCCTCCCAGCATCCACCCGCAGGACTTCACCATCAGCAGTCCGCGCTAATGTCTGCATCCGCGTGGAACGCACCCAATTTCGTCGCAAGAGTTAGTAAACATGAGGCTTAAGAAGTTCGTGTCACTCAGCCAACACCCGTCGCCATCGGCTTGACGACAGGCATATTCGTGCTTGTCTTCCTCGTCAAATGTGTCAGCGCCAGTGGCTGAGAATATCGGCATGCCAGGCAGAGGGGAGGGTATACTTACCTGCTGCATCCGCTGTTATAGCATGATACGTGGAAGGAAGTAGCAAAGGGAAAAAAACATGGCGTGGATTGGGAGTATCATTTCGGATGTATTCACAGCTTGTGAGTCTTCTGCCACGCACCTTTTTCATCTCTGCTCCTGTGTTCACCTCGTACGGTAGATTTGAACGTCACTCCATGTCCGGCTTACGAACGCAGTCACAGGATATTTCAGCGTGAAGCGACTGCAAATCAATACGCCGATCGCCAACAGCTGTTCGATTTCTTGTGTCAGTATTATTCGACCCCATCGAAAGATCGAGATTTTTGTCCATGTCTTAACTTGCACACTGGGATGCTGACGCTTGGCGACGTCAGACGTTATCATAATGGCCATCAGTCGCAGCAATCTGAAGCTCTCACGGGATTCAGCTCGTTAGACTGATCAGAAAGGCGAATTTTTTCTTATGGCCCTCTAGGCGCTCTCTCATATATCGATAGAGACGCATGAAAAGGCTACAGGTTACACTGAAGACCATAGCATAAATGACATCCAACGCTGCAAATTTGTCCTTGGACCTAATGCAGATATCTCGTAAGTCGATTTCTCCTTTGTTCCACGACGGTATCATCTCAGTCCCCGGAAAAGATGCATTTAGATTCTTCACTATGATGCATGCGGTCGATAAACTCGCTGTTTAGTGAAAACGAGAATGATGCAGTTCTAATCGCAGGTTCCGGGGATGCACGGAGCGCACGGATGATAAATCACAATATCCACCTTTGGCTTATCATCCAGAGCCATAGTAACCTGCACTGTCTTTCAAAAAATGAAAACTTTCAACGTGTGTCTGCTGCTTGATTTCGAACGCTATTATCCGGCAACAGCCCAGTCTTAGCTACCAACTGGTGTCACTGACGTTGACAGGGACGTTCCATGCATGTATATATGATGTAACTCTGAAATGACAAAACTGTATTGCTTTTAAAAATATTGGCGCAAGTCGAGATAAGCTGTAGAGCAAAATGGTACGTAGAACATACCCGACCTCAATGTATTTGAATCGGACAAAGAATGCTTCGGGGGTACATCAAGCAAGCCCAGTAGATCCCACCATCATCTCAGCTGAGGGTGACTCTCATGCTTCAAACACCCGTACACCGTACCGGGGAAAGCGCTATCTTTTGTAATCATACAACCATTTCGTACAGTTCCACCTCCTAAAGCTACCACAGACCACCCGAGGAAGTTACATCCACCGCTAAGATGCGTTAGCTCCGCGTCGCCATCTACGTTGTGTCACGTTGCTTAATATTGAGGTCTTGCTGAAGACGACGGATTAGCGGAATTTCTGCCACTGCACAACATTTAAACATACGCATGCGATGCTCTAAAGCGATTTTAAGCGTCTCGATCAACTCCATCTTTTGAGAGTCACGAATAGATTGTTTTCCCATCCGGAAGCGTCCAAACAATGGCTTGACTTTCCAAGTAAACGAGTGTCCCTGGTAGGTGTGGACGGCGACGGTCACAGCTTTCCTGACAGCAGCTGCATGCGAATATGATATGTACTGCTCGAGGGCGACATGGAAAGAGGGAGCAGACTGCCACTGGTCCTTAAGATAGCGCCGCTTGTCGAAAATATAGAAAGAGTGTTCGAAGATAATGACAGCAGCTAAACGGTCAATAATAAGCAGGTTCATCACAACGCAGCCTCAAAATTCACCGGAAATGACCTGGACAATGTTCTCCAATGGTCATGAGCCAGAGGCCTGATAGATTCGCGACATGAGACATGTGTACAACCGGTGACCAATTTGACATACCACAGAGGGTAAATCGAACAGTATGTTTACACAATGATAGGGGCGAAGCACGTCCTATTGATGGATCCGCATGGCTGTTGCTCGAACGATGATCGACACACTTACATACTGCGAACGATGGGCAACGACTTGGATCAGCATGGCTGTTGCTCGAACGAGGATCGACACACTCACTCTCTGCGAACGGTGGGCAATGACTCGGATCAGCATGACTCTTGCTCGAACGAAGATCGAAACACTCACTCTCTGCGAACGGTGCAACGACTTGGATCAGCATGGCTGTTGCTCGAACGAGGATCGACACACTCACTCACTGCGAACGGTGGGCAACGACTTGGATCAGCATGGCTATTGCTCGAACGAGGATCGACACACTCACTGTCTGCGAACGGCGGCCGGCCCAATCTTATGAAGCCTCGCACTGCCTCCAAAGTCTTGAAACTTCGCGATGCCTCCGACCCCCACGCCAGAGCCTGATCTCGCGAGGCCTCCTGCTACTTTTGCCCAGTCGCAGTAGGAAAATGACGGAGTGCTTGTTTAGCCTACCCCCATAAATAAGGATGGAATGTGATTTACCAATATAAGTAAATTTGTTGCTCTCTAGTAACCAAGAAGTACGACACAGGATAAAGAGGCACAAGCAAAATTATACCGAAAAAAATGAAGATGTTTCTACGTTTTGTTGGAACTCGTCCAGCTTCAAAACGGACGAGATTTCTAAGTCACCATTGCTGTTTGCAAGTGCGGAGAGAATGAGGTAGTATACCGGCACGGGCTTGTGTTTTGGAACACCTGACAACTTTAAACCACTGGCAGCCGATAAGATACGAGCAATACAATGCTCCATACATGGGGGAGATGCGGTGGGCGGCGAAGACTGAAGTTTGGTGCCACGGAGGGCGCACGCTGGTGCTTGAGAGCTAGATGAGCACGGATGGCGGGTATTCTACACAAGCAAAGAGATAGTAATGAACAATCCAAGTTGTAGCCTTAGGTTGAGTTGATTGAGTTTTAGATGAGACGAATCACCTTTGGCGTTGGCGAGTGCCAGAAAGTTGACTTGATGTTTTCAACCGCCGCTGTTGCTACTCTCATGAGGTCTTGCAATTGGATTTGTATGTTCGCGGAAGTTGAAATTTCAGCGCTGGAGCTGCAATTAACGCTCGTCGTAGAGCACCGCACCGTTCTGGATCCACGTGTTTTCTTATCAGACGCCCCGCTCTTGTGATCCCCATGTCTTCTCTATTCTATAATAAGCTCGCCGTTCTAGATAAAGTACCTCAGAGGAGAACTCTTCACTAGATCAAATCACCATGGCCAATGCTCTTCACACTCTCCACATCCATGGTACTCAATTCTTGTCTATCATTCACCCCGCTGAATATATCCAATAGGTATCACCGTCGATTTTACCAAGTCGAAATCGAATATAGAGTCTGCTGAAGTACGGATTGGCGAATCACATTCGCCAATTGAACTTAAACGCGAAGGGCCCGAAGGAAGGAGTTTGCGGTACACATTTTCTCCACCCAGGTAAGTACTCGACCCCAACCGATGAGAATATCTGAGTTGCTTCCGTGTCGCCGTAGGGTGTTTTCTCGCGACGAATTATTTTCCTTACATATGCGGCACAAGAATCATTTTCTGAGAACCAAGCATCATAAAGACGTTACTTTCGACACAGATGAGATATTCCGTGCGTATGGTGCAAGACAACGAGGTGAAACAAGAATCACACTCTCACCTCACACACACTCAACTTCACATCTGTAGAATACATCAAGTGGTATAAAAAAATCCGGATCGTCGTCGACTTTTCCGAGAATATTTCAACTAAAGTAAGGATCCACGTCTGGCATCGAAACCGTCTAAGTCGTAGATTAGCAGGCTGCCTCTTCCGGCCAAAGCTCCGGGCTCTCACCTACCACTTCCGACATATTTGAGAGGTGTCCTCAGTGAGTCAGGATGATCATGAAGTGCCGTCCTTGAGGCTGACGCTCCCAAGGTTCCGAATTCTGGTAATAGGAAAGGTATCTGACTTTTTCCGATCTCGAGCCAGTGTTGACGACGTGCTTTTAATAGACAGGTGTTGGCAAGTCATCACTCATCGACCACGTATTTGGAGTAGGCGAACGAACAGTGAGCAAAACAGTGAGCTGAACGTGACGCTTCAAGAAGCATAGTTGCTCATACTGTCAATAGATCGTTGAGCACGATAGGCCAGGCGAGGCTTGCATCGACGATGAGTTCACCTCGCGTGAGAACGACAGGTTCGTTCTCCACGATAGCAAAGGTTTCGAACCAGGGGAAGAAAAAAACCTCAAAATAGTCCAAGATTTTATGGAACGTCGAAAGAACATGCCAGATTTGAAGGATCAGCTGCATGCTGTTTGGTGGGGATTCTATCTCGACCATTCCGTTATGGTAGACTGACCAAATACATGGAAGGCTTTGTATTCAGATACCCCGTGCGGGCGGACGTTTGCTGGAGACAGGAACGGAGGATTTCCTGAAATCGAAACTTGAAGGAACCTTGGGAAACGGTAAGTGAATCGATAACTATCTCTCTGCTACGTCGGGGCTCACACTTTGTCAAAGTCCCCGTTATCGTCGTCCTTACTAAATATGATATACTCGTCGATCGCGTGGAGCGAACTCTAAATGAAGCCTATCTCGATGGATTGAGCGAAAAAGCTATCCAAGAACTCGTCAAGGAAGGAGCAGAAACAGAGGTGCAGAACACCTGCATCGGACCTCTCGAGGAATTCACAGGGTCTGATATTCCCCATGCCACGATCTCCAGTATGTACCAATACCCTGACAGGTCCATGCGTGCCTCTGAAGTGTAATATTGCAGCCGCAAAAGGCTACAAGGAGACACTCGCCGGCCTGATCCAAAAAACTGAAACCTGTGTCAATTTGCATCTTGAGCCCGATGCCGCGGTGATGACCTCCGTCGCTCAGCGAGTGCATCCTGGACTCAAAATAAAGGCATTGATTAAGTGAGTCTCGCTTGCCTCATTCTTATCTGGTGATTTACGCAATCTCAGGATTGGCAAACAAAGTTTGTCCCACTTTCGCGTTCATAATCACTGAATACAGTCTAAATCTTCGTGTCTTGAAGGATATTGGAATGCGCTCATGTCATGCCCAACGTTCAAGAACAACCAGATGAAGGATTGTCTGCGTGTGCTTCATAACGACATTGTCGACGTGTGGAACTTCCGTGATCCTCATAAGGTGATGTCTATCTTATTTGTCGTCGTTGCATCCGCCCTAACGTGATTTGTGCGTAGTACTTGCGCAGCCAACAGTTCAGGGATTTGATGATGACAATGGTCGATAACATACAAGCTGAATCCACCACCACGTCCATGTAGGCTGGTCTTTTACGTGTCAGATAAATTGTATCTCATTGAATATTTACAGGACATTTGGGTCGTCCATGTCCGGCCCTATTGTGAGCATGCTGGGCGCCTTGTCGGGACCTGCGGCTCCCATCGTAGTACCAATCGCAGCAGTCGCCGTATTCGTCGCACAATGGGTTTATGAGGTATACCAGATATCGTACGCACCACTATTTTTCTCGCGTGCGAAAGGACATCGACACTTCTTTTTCAGCGACGTGGTGCTTCAGCGCTTGATGGCCTACATCATGCACTTGACGCTTGTGTTGCAGACACTTTTTTTCGTGTCAAAAAGCCGGGTACTCACTCGTAGGGCCATCAAACTCGCGGTCAAATCCTACCTCGCCTCCCCAATAAGGAAGAGGTTCTCACTCGGATTCAGGATTATGTCCAGGGATTGGCTATCTTGGCACACGCGGATAAGGATATCTTGGATAAAATCGAAGAGATGATGCAATTTTACGAGATGGATGCGGCACAAGTGTCCGAGCTTGAGGCAAAAATCCCCGATGTAGATTTGTTACCAGACGAACCATGGTAAATCGAGAAGTCGTAGCGCTCGATTGTTTCTTTCCTGGATGGTTTTGGGCGTGGACGGTAGTCTGAGTGTTGACCGATTACAGACAGTGCTCGCTTGTACTATACCACTGGATTTATGGCCGATCATGACAATGTAACCTGCATTCTATCAACATCATGTACTTCTAGATTTGACTTGAGCCCTGCAAGGTGCCAAGGCAATCGTTCGACGCCTTCTGAACAGGTCGTGGTGCACTGGATTTAGATACTTGGTGAGCTAATGAGAGAGAAACAATGAACAGTGCGATGGTCCCCACTGACTTTTTAGTGTTGAGGACCGATGTAGGGTTCGTTCCAGTGGTGGTAAGCCACACGGGGACCGCTGTCGTAGCCCAGAGGGCATCCAGCGCTAACTAACCGTGCATCATTCGATTCAGGTGTGAACGATTGATCGCTTCAAGCCTCTATACATCCTCGAGCCCCACACAGGCACACTTTTGACGTGTCAACGTTTCAACGTTGAACGCCACCTATAATTAATTTCATTCAATATTCAACTATTCATGCACATGCACCGAGCTCATTCATATGCATATAGGCTATATAGATGGTCGTCCAATACTCCATCACTGATCAATGATCACCGTCATCCCATTTCGCAGTACATACTTGTAACATTGTGAGTTACTAGGTATGCAGCCTGACTTGAGAACTCACGACACTTGTAGTACTGTTTACCGCAAGGCTCAATCATAGTAGTAAGTAGTAGTCCAAAGTCCGATATACGACTGGTTATGATCTAGGGATATTATATCAGCGAAGAGGCAGCGCCTAACTTTGAAATTATCTCCGGTACGCTCCAGAATTCCATCATCGTCCGCATCCACCCACTAACTTGAATTTATAACCCTGCTCATCATCCGCACGCTACATAGTACCTGTGCGATAAATCCAGTTTATTCATCAATTACCCAAATTCCAGCACAAGCGACAACCGGCTATCCAGGCAATCCCAATCCCAAGGCCCTTGCATCTGGCCCCCTCTGCCAGATGGTATCTCAGCTCCTTCAAGGAGGAAGCCTGCCCACAGCACAAACAATCCACATATGCCTCCGCGTCCACGGGATGGTACAAGCACTCCCTACATTCACCCTTCCAGCATCCACCTGCAGGACTTCACCACGAGCGGTCCGCGCCAATGTCTGCATCCGCGTGGAACGGACCCAATTTCATCGCAAGAGTTAGTAACCATGGGGCTTAACAAGTTCGTGTCACTTAGCCAACACCCGTCGCCATCAGCTCGACGACAAGCATCTTCGTGCTTGTCTTCCTCGTCAAATGTGTCAACGCCCATGGCTGAGAATATTGGCATGCCAGGCAGAGGGGAGTGTTATACTTACCTGCTGCATCCGCTGTTATAGCATGATATACAGGAGGGAGCAGCAGAGGAAAAGAATGTGGCGTGGACGGGGTGTATTATTTCGGACGATACCCACAGCTGGTATGTCTTCTGCCACGCACCTTTTTCATCCTCTGCTCCCATGTTCACCTCGTAAGATAGACTTGAACGTCCCTCCATGTCCGGCATACGAAGGCAGTCACAGGATATTTTAGAGTGGAGCGACTGCAAATCGATATGCTGATCGCCAACAGCTGATCGATTTCTTGTGTCAGTATTACTCGACCCCATCGAAAGATCGAGATTTTTGTTCATCCCTTAGATTGCACACTGGGTTGCTGACGTTTGGCGATGTCGGACGTTATCATAACGGCTGTCGATCGCAGCAAGCTCTCACGGGATTCAGCTCGTTAGACTGATAGGAAACGCGAGTGTTTTGTTATGGTCTTCTTTAGGCGCTCTCTCGTACGTTGATAAGATACGCATGAAAAGGCTACAAGTCACACTGAAGACCATGGCATAAAGTGAGATCCAACGCTGAAAATTTGTCCTTGGACATAAGGCAGACATCTTGTAAGTCGATTTCTCCTTTGTTCCACGATAGCATCATCTCGGTCCCTCGAGAAGATGCATTTAGATTCCAGAGTATGATGCATGCGGTCGATACACTCATTGTTTAGTGAAAACGAGAATGGTGCAGTTCTAATCGTAGGCCCCGGGAATGCACAGAGCGCACGTAAGATAAACCAGGGTTCCACCTTTGACTTCGTAATCCAGGAACATGATAATCTGCACACTGTCCTTGAAGAACTTACGAAAACTTCGGAGGCGCGTCCGCTGTTTGAAATCCATCAGTCTCGAAGGCTATCACCCGCGAACAGCTCAGTCTTAGCCATCAACTGGTGTCACTGACGTTGACAGAGACGTTCCATGGATCTATATAAAATGTAACTCTGAAATGACAACACTGTATTGCTTTTAAAAATATTGGCGCAAGTCGAAATAGGCTGCTAAGCAGCATGGTACGTAGAACATACCTGAACTCAATGCACTTGAATCGGACAAAGAGTGCTTCGGAGGTACATCAAGCCCAGTGGATTCCACCACCATCTCAGCTGAGGGTGACTCACGTGCTTCAAACACCTGTACACCATACCAAGGAAAGCGCTACATATATTGTGTGATCATACAACCGTGTCATAAAGTTCCACCTCCTGAAACTACCTCAATAAACCTCTCGAAGCCCACATTCACAGCTGAGATAACTCATCCACTTCGGAACACCATCTACATTGCGTTGCATTGCCTGATATCAAGGTCTTGCTGAAAGACGAGTATATCAGCGGGATTGTTGCCACAGGATGACGACGAAACATACACAGGCGATGATTTAAAGTGATTTCAAGAACAGCGTTGATTAACTCCGCCTTCGCCTGAGAGGACGAAGATTCTTTCTCCTTCACTGAAGCAGCCACCGCTTGTTCATAAGCGTGAACGGGGTCGCTCACACCCTTCACGACAGCAGCTGCATGCGGAGATGACATGTACTGCTCCAGTGCGACATAAAAAGAGGGATCAGACTGCCCCTTGTCCTGAAGATAGCGCCGCTTGTCAAAAATATAGAAAGAGTGTTCGAAGATAATGACAGCAGCTAAACGGTCAATAATAAGCAGGTTCATCACAACGCAACCTCAAAATTCACCGGAAATGAGCTGAACAACGTTGTGCAAGGGCGATAAGCCACAGGCCTGGCGAATTGCCAACATGAGAAATGTGTACAATCTGGCACCAATTGGACACACCACAGAGAGTAACTTGGATTGTATCACCGCACAGTGATCGTCGCGAAGCTTGTCCTATTGAGGGATCAGCATGGCTGTTGCTCGAACGAGGATCGACACACTCACTCTCTGCGAACGGTGGGCAACGACTTGGATCAGCATGGCTGTTGCTCGAACGAGGATCGACACACTCACGAACTGCGAACGGTGGGCAACGACTTGGATCAGCATGGCTGTTGCTCGAACGAGGATCGACACACTCACGAACTGCGAACGGTGGGCAACGACTTGGATCAGCATGGCTGTTGCTCGAACGAGGATCGACACACTCACGAACTGCGAACGGTGGGCAACGACTTGGATCAGCATGGCTGTTGCTCGAACGAGGATCGACACACTCACTCTCTGCGAACGGTGGGCAACGACTTGGATCAGCATGGCTGTTGCTCGAACGAGGATCGACACACTCACATCCTGCGAACGGTGGGCAACGACTTGGATCAGCATGGCTGTTGCTCGAACGAGGATCGACACACTCACGAACTGCGAACGGTGGGCAACGACTTGGATCAGCATGGCTGTTGCTCGAACGAGGATCGACACACTCACGAACTGCGAACGGTGGGCAACGACTTGGATCAGCATGGCTGTTGCTCGAACGAGGATCGACACACTCACATCCTGCGAACGGTGGGCAACGACTTGGATCAGCATGGCTGTTGCTCGAACGAGGATCGACACACTCACATCCTGCGAACGGTGGGCAACGACTTGGATCAGCATGGCTGTTGCTCGAACGAGGATCGACACACTCACTCTCTGCGAACGGTGGGCAACGACTTGGATCAGCATGGCTGTTGCGCGAATGAGGATTGACAGACGTACTGCCTGTAAGTAAAGGTTTGACATAAATGAGAGCAACCTTTGAATTTTCCAAGAATCTTACCCAAATATGTGGAAACCAGGCGCCCAAGGTTCCTATTATCTTCTCGTGACCTTCAGATGCGCTTGTCTCTGCAGAGCCAAAATGTTCTCGCAATGTTCTGGACAATATCAGTCGTTAACACCAAGTTGCGGCAAGCGAATGAGTCCATGGTTGGTTACCTTTCAATTGCATATTTCATACAGACCTCCAAGTTGGTCTGTTGGGTCGTGACGAACAATCGCTTCAGTACTTCATCATCCAAAGTTGCAGCTGTGCGTTCGATCAGTGGTCCAGAATTTGCATCATCTTTGTCCATATCTGATGGATCAACGGTCATCATGTATGGGAACTTGACAATAAACCGGCTTACTGGGAAGGCATACGTGACATGGTGGAGGTTTTCGGACATCCTTGAGAAACCTCAGTTGCGGTCCGTTTGCAAATGTTTCTTCGGCGCGTTTTGCGGCCAGTTTTCTAGCGTCTTTCCGAGATTTTCCTTCTGTTTTCAGTTGTGTGTAAGCGACGTCGTATAGTGCATCGAACTTTGTGAACACAACGATGACAGGTACTGAGGATTGTGATTCTGCGCATCAGTCGAATGTCGATGAGGGTGGGACGCGAAAACTTACTGCTTCCTGTGTCGCACTGGGAGAAAAACTTATTCTCGGCTGCAGTGAACGACCTACATGCTTCGTCCATTGGGATGCAGAACCTATGTTGAAACCGTTAGATAGCGCATGCTGTGATTGACGGATTGCAATTACCATATAGTGTGGAGCCGTTTTGTTATCTTTGTTTCCTTGGAACGCTCAATGATAAATGTCTGGACCTTGTCGAATTCTGATACGCCGCCTGCCTCGAAACCCCGTGAATCATGAAAAACGAAGCCCGGGTTGCTTGGAAACACCACTTCGTCATCAATGTCGTGCAGTCCGCGCTGAGGGCACATGAATTTATGACATCGACTAAGAGCACAACTCACCCCTCTGGATCCCGTTAAATCGATCTGATGTTGATGGGTCAGTACCTTCCTCCTACTGGCAATGTGATGCCCACCTTTTCCCCCTTGCTGTTGTATATTTCTGGTTGGTCCCGCGTGTTGCAGACTCTCTGCAGAATGGTTGTTTTTCCTGCATTGGCTCTCCCTATGACGAGGATCCGAAAGCGACCGATTCTCTGTTTTATCTTTGAAGGATCCATGGGGAGGGTGAATGTGACTGAAGGAGAAGCGTTGGTGTGGCCTTATAATCGTTGCAGTGTGTGAACCCGGCGATTACCCAACCCGAAGCCAGCCTATATAGAATCAGTGTATTTGATATCATATGAGCTGTATGTGGATGAAGCGTACAAGACAAGACTGATAATCTGTTGAAAGATTATAGATAAGTGATAACTTTGATTCGGACAACAACAAACAACACTCGCTTACATAATACGCTATGCGCTCATTAGAAGTTTTATATTACTTAGCACCTCAGTCTTCGACTATTGAGACTGAGGTATGATATTATTTATTTAGACTCTTTACTACGATACTGACTACTACTCTAGTACTTACTACTTTCGTTTATAGGTCAGCTAGTAGTCTCCCAGTCTTCGACTATTGAGACTGAGTACTTACTACTTTCGTTTATAGAATTCTTTCTGTCATTCTTTCGTCTGTCGCATCCTCGAACAAAAGGTTATGAGCCCTGGTGCTTAGAATCAATCCAGTACCACAAAGGAACATCAACCGAAACAAGAATTAAATGTCGAACACACCCTCAGTGTCTGCAGCCCAGTCAGGTGCAGCTGCTTCATCCTCGAACATCCCTTCCATATCATCCAGTTCTACATCTACAAGCAGAACTGCACAAGCCTCAAATCGTCTATATGATATTCCATCCCTCGAAAACGACGGTTCAAACTTCCAACTATGGAAGTACCGTGTCGAGTTAATCCTTGACCTTCGAGGACTATGGGGAATTGTTGAAGGAAGTGAAAAGATGCCAGATAGCACAACGCACCCTGTTCAACACCAGGAATGGTTAGCAAGGAACAAGGAAGCACGAGCTCAGATAGCTCTCACGCTGAAAGATGATCCCTTGAATGGGATACTCTATGTGCCAATAGCTAAAGATGCCTGGAAGAAGCTCTGTGAGCGATACGAGGGTAGAGGAAAGCAAACAATTGCTCAACTCATTGGCGAATTGTTTCGAAGTACCTTGACGGACGAATCTCCTATGGAAACGCAGCTAAACACCATGCGACAGAAGGCATTCATACTGTCCTCGCTTGGTCAGCCGCTCGACGATTCACTGGTCGCAGTTGCGATGGTGATATCCTTACCTTCATCCTATGCCACCCTTCGAACGATCCTAATGTCCAGTAGTGACAAACTCACCACCGAAACTGTTATAGCCCAAGTGCTGGTAGAGGAAAGGCAACGACAGGCTAGCAATAGCCAATCTGCGCTCGTTGCGAAGGGACCTGCGCAAAAGAATAAGCCTAAGCGCAAGGATAAGGACAAGAAGAAGTCAAAGGAAAAGTGCACATACTGCCACATTCCTGGACATGAGGAGAAGGACTGTCGAAAGAAGAAAGCTGCTGAAGACGCTGAAAAGAGTGGGAAGCAGGTGGACAAAGACAAAGGAAAAACGGACCTATCTGCAAAGGTCGCACGCATTTCGTCGGACCATGACACACCGCTCCAATTATTCATGGCACATGGGCACTCTACATCCGCATCCAAAGATGATTGGATAGTGGACTCTGGCGCATCTGCAAACATGACGTGTCAGCGGGAAATTTTCATCAAATATCGCACACTGAACCCACCCGGAAAAGTAATCATCGGAGATGGACGCTCGATAGATGCGATAGGTATCGGACGTGCTGAAATAAACGTCTATGTTGGTGAAAATGAGTACATCCACTCCATCCTGCAGGAAGTCTATCACATACCAGACCTGAATGCGAACCTTCTGTCAGTTCCGCGCCTCACGAAACAAGGTCTCGAAGTCACCTTTGATGGTTCCCAATGCAAGATCCTTGCAAAGGGAAAGACCGTTGCTCTCGCACATAAGCGAAACTCGCTATACGTCCTTCGAGTAAAGCCATGCGAGAAAGCACATGCATACATTCTGCAAGGACCATCAGCTCCACTCGATCCAGATGTCCCCATAACAGCTCTCACCTCGCGCATGCTCCATTCGAGTGCAACTCTGGACACATGGCATCGACGACTTGGGCACGTAAATTTCGACTCCATATCTAAGTTAATTTCGAAAGATATGGTCAATGGGATCAACATAAAGGGTTCAAGTACTCACAATAAGGCAGTGTGTCAGCCTTGCCTTGAAGGCAAGCAACACCGCAACCCAATCCCAACGAAATCAAATGTCGAAAGCCCAGGAGTCCTGTATCGCACATACTCTGATGTATGCGGACCCATGGAAACAGTGTCGCGCGCCGGCTTCCGATACTTCGTTACATTCATAGATGCCTATTCACACCATCTCGTGGTTAAACTTGTGAAGACCAAGGATGAAACATTCGCACTCACCAAAGGATACTTTGAACGTGCAGAGACCGAGACTGGAGAACGCCCCAACTATTTTCGTAGTGATGGTGGGGGGGAATATGGATCAAAACAATTTGTATCCTATCTCGAGTCAAAAGGCATCCATCACGAGAAAACAAACGCATACACACCACAAGAGAACGGTGTCGCAGAGCGGATGAATCGGACCTTAGTTGAAATGGCACGCAGCTTGCTACGAGACGCCGGACTGCCAAACACATATTGGGGAGATGCGATCCTATATTCGGCGCACATATTGAACCGGGTTCCAACTCGTGCGATAGATGGAGACATTACACCACATGAAGCGTTCACTGGGAACAAACCATCAGTATCCCATCTCCGGGTATTTGGGTGCAAAGCCCATGTACACATACCTGATGAAAAACGCCAGAAGCTCGGTGTGAAATCGCTCGAATGCGTCAACCTTGGGTATGCCGAACATCGAAAGGCCTATGTATGCCTGCATCGTCCAACCGGTCGCATCCTCGAGTCGCGAGACGTCGTCTTCGATGAAGGAGATCCGCAAGGGCCTAGTCGTGTCAAGATAGACACATTTCTCCCAGAGAAACAGGTCACTGCTGCAAAGCACAACACAGACGACCTGCAAGGCCTGGAAGCTCCTCATAAGTCAACAATTATAGAAGAATTATCAGACGATGACGCACCGGAAGTGGGAAATCCAGCTACCAAATCTCCCCACGAGGATGATGATGTCGATGGACAACCAGCTCCTCTAAGCATGGTCAAGTTCGAGCCTGAAGACCAGAACAAGGAAATGTCAGCACCGAACAACACGCGTGCGTTGGAGACACACCGTGTTCAACCACTAACCCCTTCAGCCACTCGACAAATAGCACCTCCTGCTCCATATCCTCGCCCAGCTCCTCCACCTGAAGTAAGGCGCAGCTCGCGAGCGCGACGCGCACCTATGCGAGACGATGATCCTCGCTACTTCATAAACGCCTATGAGAAGTCAACACTTCAAAGAGAGGAACCGGTTATACAAGACATACCTGAGGCAGTGGGCGCGATTGAGGCTGCGGAGACACATGGGGAGGCTTACAAGGCTACAGTAGCTTGTAATGGTGAGCCTGGGACGTTCCATGAAGCAATGAATCGTCCAGACGCAGATCTATGGTACACGGCGATGACTGAAGAATTGAAGATCTTCGAGAAGATTGGCCTATACGAGGAAGTCAAACGCCCTCGTGACCGCAAGGTTGTAGACTCGAAATGGGTCTATAAAATTAAGCGCGGCCCGCATGGCGAAATTGAACGCTATAAGGCCAGACTCGTCGCGAAAGGTTTCACGCAGGTCCAAGGGATCGACTACACAGACACCTTTGCCCCCGTCACGAAGTTCTCGACGATTCGAGTCCTTCTTGCCCTTGCAGCCAAGTACGATCTAGATATACATCAGATGGACGTCAAGTCAGCTTTTCTAAACGGTGAATTGGATGAGGAAATTTACCTGCAGCTCCCTCCTGGCTTTCGTGACTCGTCGAATCAAGTTTGGAAGCTCAAACGTGCTCTATACGGTCTTAAGCAGGCACACAAAGCATGGTACAAAAGACTACGTACCGTCTTCGAGTCTCTCGGCTTCACACGCAGCAATGCAGACCATTCTGTCTTCTACAAGGTCGAGAACGGCACAATCATTATAGTCGCCGTCTATGTTGACGACAAAATGATACTGTCAAAAGATAAGAAGATGATAGATGAGCTGAAGAAACGGTTAGCAGCAGAGTACGAGCTTACCGATTTGGGAGAAGCGCGCTGGATTTTGGGAATGGAAATCATTCGCGACCGCGATAAACGCACGATCAAGCTGTCACAAAGCCGCTACATCGAATCGATACTCGAGCGTTTCAATATGGGATCCAGTCGTCCTGTGAATACGCCAATGGACCCTAATACCAAGCTCATCAAAGTGAATGAAGCCGAAGTCGATGTGAAGACTTACCAAAGTGCCCTAGGTGCACTGATGTATGCGATGCTTGCGACGCGTCCGGACATCGCGTTCGCAGTAGGTGCTCTGAGCAGATTTGCAGCTACCCCCGGACAAGCGCACTGGACCGCTCTAAAGCGTGTCTATCGGTATCTACGCGGGACCGTCAATAAATGTTTGACATATCAAGGGAAGTCAGAAACGGACTTACATGCGTTCGTCGACGCAGACTGGGCCTCAGATGTCAATGACCGGCGTTCGATAACCGGATATATATTTTCAATATCTGGAGGAGCAGTTAGTTGGAGTTCGAAGAAGCAAAGTTCAGTCGCACTTTCCAGTACCGAAGCAGAATATATGGCCGCCGCCGCTGCTACGAAGGAGGCCGTTTGGTTGAGGACCCTACTCAGAGAACTAAACTCCTCAGAAACTCCCCCAATAACTCTCCAAATCGACAATCAATCTGCAATTCTGTTAGCCGAAAATGCCATGTTTCACGAACGTACCAAACATATCGCGATCCGGTATCACTTTATCCGAGAAAAGTTGGAGGAAGGAGAGATATGCGTTGAGTATGTTCCCACGAACGAACAGATTGCCGACGTTTTGACGAAGGCACTTGCGCGCGAGAAGCATGGACGATTCATCGAAGGAATGGGAGTGTTGAACGGCGAGAGTTTGATTCGTTGAGTGGGCGTGTTGAAAGATTATAGATAAGTGATAACTTTGATTCGGACAACAACAAACAACACTCGCTTACATAATACGCTATGCGCTCATTAGAAGTTTTATATTACTTAGCACCTCAGTCTTCGACTATTGAGACTGAGGTATGATATTATTTATTTAGACTCTTTACTACGATACTGACTACTACTCTAGTACTTACTACTTTCGTTTATAGGTCAGCTAGTAGTCTCCCAGTCTTCGACTATTGAGACTGAGTACTTACTACTTTCGTTTATAGAATTCTTTCTGTCATTCTTTCGTCTGTCGCATCCTCGAACAAAATAATCAGCATAAGATCCATATTTGAAATTAGCTTATCGTACCATACTCGTGAACCTATAACAAAACACTAGGCCAAAATCGTAACAAACACAACGACAACTTCGGAGTCGTACTACGTATCCCGTTACCTTATTCAACTTAGCAGATAGCAATTGGACGGAATGTGATTGAGGGAGTCGCAGACAAGACACGAGAAAAAACATGTCCAAACAAACTCCATCATACTATGACTTCAACGAAGGGTTTCGAAACGGACAAGCAGTACAACTTTCAAGATAAGTCAGAGGCAGATTCAGATTCAGAACTGACGAGCTCGAGGTTTCCGAGGTCTTGTCATTATTACGCGTTGGGTATGATCAATCAACCCCAGGATAGCTCGTAACTTACGTAGGGCACCGGGCCCGGGTCTTCACAAAGACTGTCTTATCGCAACCTATGCCATCCACGTTTATTTGGTGATAGTCCCCCATTCTACATCATAAGAGTAGCTTCTTCCCTAAATCAAATCAGCATGGCTAATACTGTTCACGCCTCGACGGTCTCCAGCTGCAGCATCTTTGGTAACTCAATTCTTATCATCATGTGGTGTCATCAAACCCGCTGAATATATCCAACAGGCATCACCGTCGATTTCACCAATTGGTCGAAAACTATAGAATCTGCTGAAGTACGGACCAGCAAGCATCCGCCAATTGAACTTGAGCGCGAAGCAGGAAAGAGTTTGCGACACATGTTTGATTTACCCATGTAGTAACGTTCAAATTCTCGACCCCGACACATGTTCTCACCTAAGTTGCTTCTGTGTCTTTTTTGTCTCAGGGTGATTTCCCATGAAGATCCATTTTCCCTACGTATACGGTACAAGGAATCTTTTGGGATGAAGACCAAAGACATTGCTTTTGACCCAGATGTCATTTTTCTTGTATCTAGTGCAAGCGAGGGACAAGGTAAAACAATAATGATTGCACTCTCACCTCACTCGCCCACTCACTCAACCTCAACATCCATAGAATACATCAAGTCGCATGAAGAAATCACGATTGTCGTCGCCCTTTCTGGGAATACCTCAGCTGAAGTAAGGATCCACGTCTGGCATCGAAACCGTCTAAGTTGTGGATTAGCAGTCTGAGCAATCTATCTCTACTGGCCAAAGTCATACGCTCCTGGCTACTACTTCCGAAATCTTTCGGAGCTGTCCTCAGTGAGTCGGGATGATCATAAAGTGCTGTTCTTGAAGTTGACCCTTCCAAGGTTCCGAATTCTGGTGATAGGAAAGGTATCTTGCAGTTGACTTTCTCCGATCTCAGGCCATTGCTGACGACGTGCTTTTAATAGACTGGCGTCGGCAAGTCGTCACTGATCAACCATGTATTCGGAGTGGACACAATGGTGGGCCAAACGCAGTGCTTCGACAAGCACAGCTACTCATGCTGTCAATAGTCTGTTGCCCATGATAAGTCAGGCGAGGCCAGCATCGACGATGAGTTCGTCTCATCTCAGAACGACAGGTTCGTTCTCCATGACAGCAAGGGTTTTGAACCAGGGGAACAAGACAACCTCAAAATTGTCCGAGATTTTATTGGCCGTCGGAGCGCAATGCCTGATTTAAAAGACCAGCTGCACGTTGTTTTGTGGGGATTTTATCTCGACCATTCCGTTATGGTAGACTGACCAAATACATGGAAGGCTTTGCTTTGAGATACCTCGTGCAGGCGGACGTTTGCTGGAGACGGGAACAGAGGAATTCCTGGAATCGAAACGTGATGGAACGCTGGGAAAAGGTAAGTAAATCGATAACTATATCTCCGCTACGTTGAGGTTCACACTTCATCAAAGTTCCTGTTATCGTCGTTCTTACTAAATACGACATGCTTATCGAACGCATGGAACGAAATCTAGATGAGGCCTCTCTCGATGAATTGAGCGACGAAGAGATCGAGGAACTCGTGAAGAACAAAGCAGAAGCGGAGCTGCGGGATACCTGCATCGGACCTCTAGAGGAATTGGCAGGGTCTGATATCCCCCACGCCACGATCTCCAGTGTGTACCAATACTCTGACAGGTTCACGCGTGCCTCTGAAGTGTAATATTGCAGCCGCAAAAGGTTACACGGAGACACTCACCGACCTCATCCAAATAACTGAAAGCTGTGTCAATGAGCATCTTGTGCCGGAGGCCGCAGTGATGACCTCCATCGCTCAGCGAATGCATCCTGGACTCAAAACAGAGGCATTAATTAAGTGAGTCTTGCTCGCTCCATTCTTATCTGGTGATTTACGCAGAGTCAGTGTTGGCAAGCAAAGTTTGTCCCAGTTTCCCGTTGATAATCACTGAATTCAGTCTAAATATTCATGTCTCGCAGAATATTGGAAGGCGCTTGCATCATGCCCAAAGTTCAAGAATTACCAGATCCAGGATTGTCTGCGTGTGCTTCACACTGACATCGTCGATGTGTGGAACTTCCGTGACCCTCATCATGTGACGGCTGTCTTATTTGTCGTCGTTGCATCCGTCTAACGTGATTTGCACATAGCACTTGCACAGCCAAGAGTTCAGGGAATTGATGATGAACATGGTCGATAAGATACAAGCTGGATCTACAGTTGATCCCACCAAGACCTTGTAGGCCGGTCTTTTACGCGATAGATCGATTTTATCTCATTGAATGTTTGCAGGACATTTGGGTTATCCATGGTTGGCACTATTGCGGGCATCGTGTCCGCCTTGGCGGCACCGGCAGCTCCCATCGTACTACCAATCGCAGTAGGTGCCGTGCTCGTGGTATGGGTTCACGAAGTGTACAAAATGTCGTACGCACCGCTATTTTTTTTTGGCGAGCGAAGGGATATCGACACTTCTTTGTTAGCCACGTGGTGCTTCAGCGCTTTATGGCCTACATCATGCACTTGACACTTGTGTTGCAAACACTTTTTATCGTGTCAGAAAGCCGGGAACTCACCCGTAGGGCCATCAAGCTCGCGGTCAATTCCTACCTCGCCTCCCCAATAAGCGGAGAAGTTCTCAATAAAATTCAGGATTACGATAAGCAATTGACGATCCTGGAACGCGCGGATAGCGATACGTTGGACAAAATCGAAGAGATGATGCAATTTTACAAGATCGATGCAGCACAAATTTCCAATCTTCAGGCAAATACTTCCCATGTAGATTTGTCGTCGGACGAGCCATGGTAAATTCAGAAGTCGTAGGGTTCGATTGTCTCTTTTGTGGATGGTTCTGCGCGTGGGCGGTGTCTAAGTGCTGACGCGATTGCAGATAGTGCTCGCTTGTACTATATAACTGGATTTATACCCGATCATAACAATGCAACCTATGCTCTACTGTGTTCTATTAACGTGATGTACTTACTGCTAGATTTCACTCGAGCCTCCAACGTGCCAAGGTATTGTAATAGTCCATAAAAACTTGGCCTCAATTGTTCAACGTTCAACGCCTTCTGAACAGGTCATGGTGCACTGGATTTAGATATTTGGTGAGCTAATGAAAGAAAATAACGAACAATGCGATGGTTCCCACTGACCTTTTAGTGTTGAGGATATATTATTTCGACGCATTCGCTTCGTTCCAGTGGTGGTAACTCACACAGTATGACTGTAGCCCAGAGCATATCCATTGCAGGCTCGCAAGAGATCCTGCATGTCGTCGTAAGCGCCGCAAGGAAATCACGAGCCAAAAGTACCTTGCGAGATGACAAACTTTGGTCCGGAACAAATCCAGGATCACTGACATGCAGATCGGTGCGATTGTGCTGGAGGATCTCGGAAACGATGCGGTACGGCAGAGCTCGATGCATGTTGTTTATCGAGTTTCTCCTGATTCTAGACGGGTATACGTATTACGCAGCTGCATACAACATGAGGCACGAGGAACACACGAGGAGTCAAACGTTGATGTGGTTTTGATCATTCGGAAGCGACAGGGATATCTGTGTTGGGTTACAGGGTCCTGAGGCCTGAACAGTGTACGTGCGTTATCTCAATAGATCTCACTTACAGACGACGGCAAGACCTCCAGCAGTAATAATGTTTTTCATGCTCGTGTACAAGGTCAAGTCTATCGCGCCATCGTGCGTCCGAGTCTGTCCAGGCTACCACACCTAATTTCTTAACCCAATTTCATGAAGCCTGCTGCGGCTGCCTACAAGTCTTGAAACCTCACGCTGCTTCCGAACCCCATGGCAGAGCGTGACCTGCCGAGACCTTCCTATCTTCCTGCTTTTACCCGGTCGCACTACTAGGGAAAATGACGGAGTGCTTGTTTAGCCTCATCCCGTAAAATAGCATATGGATAGAACAGAATATAATTTACCAATGCAAATAAATTTGCCGCTCTCTAGTAACTAAGAAAGACAATAGGGGACTTCAAAGTTGAGTTGAGCGTCCAAATCACGTCCAAATCGGCATCCGAAATCAACTTTGAACTCCCCTAATACACTGGATAAAGAGACACGAACAAAATTAGATCGAAAAAAATGAAGGAGAGATGTTTCTACGTTTTGTTAAAGCTCGTCCAGCTTCAAAAACGGACGACATGTCCATGTCAGCATTGCTGTTTGCGAGTGCGAAGAGAATGAGGTGGTTTACCAGCACGGGCTTGTGTTTTGGAACACCCGACAATAAATCAGCCGATAAGATACGAGCAGTACTGAATGCTCCGTACCTGGGAGAGATGCGTTGGGCAGCGAAGACCATGGACGAATGGAGTTTGGTGCGACAGAGGGCGCACGCTGCCGCATGCACTGACTTAGAGCTACTAGTGGCCGCTAAATGAGGGGTGAGGCCTCATTCCGAAGCAAAGAGATATGTGATGAACAACCCTGAGTTGTAGGTTGAGTTGATCGAGTTTTAGGTGACGCCTTTCGTGCAGACGAATCATAATTAGCGAGTGCCAGAAAGTTGACTTGATGTTTTTAACCGCCGCTGTTCAGAGCTGACCAGGTTTTCGAGGTCTTGCCATTATTGCAATTTGGGAGCCGAAGTATGATTGCGGAAGTTGAAATTTGAAAGTTCAATATGCTAGGCAGGGCAATTGTAATTAACCCCAGAACAGCTCGTGACTTACGTAGTAGTAGAGCACCGGCGTAGCTTTCTTATCGCAACGTTCTTGTGATCCACGTGTTTTCTAGTTTATAATCAACAGGGTGTGCCGTTAACCTAGCTCGGAGGAGAACTCTATGCATTTTTACTCAAAGCGCGACACAAATAAAACCAAAGCAAGTTCTGTAACGGCTACGACGAAACACGTATAAGTCTATTTGGGTGAAACCCGCAGGGGTTAGGCTGACAAGGACCACTGGGACCTAACAAAAGAAAGCATGAGCTGTGTGTGGGCGGGTGGGCCAAGCAGCATACAGTACTAGGTCACAAATGGCCCTCGTCTACCAAGGGAGAGAGCTTCAGCGAGAGGGTAAAGGTCTGAAGACTAGAATAGCACCAATTAGAAAAGGTATTATGAAACAAAGAAAAATGTAAAGTACCCCCAACAGGCACTTGATCCCAACAAGGCAAATCATCACTATCTCTAGGGACCCTTTCACGGCCTACCATGGAAGGTACAGTGCTTTTTGGCATTAGAGTGAAAGAAGGCCGAGTAATTTCGTGAAAACATTGAGGCCAAAAGAACAATCTCCTCTGCAGATGATGAAACCAGGAGAGTCGAGCAGCAGCACATGGGATACGAATGGTACGGGGGTGCAGTCCTCCAACATGATTGTCACAAACACTGAATTCAACCGCAGAGGAGCTCCAGGCAGTGATGTGAGTTAAAATCCCAGAGAAAGCAGGCAGCATGGTGGGATTGGTGGGATTAGGGAAAGCTCTGTAAATTACGATATAATCTCCAATACCCAGGGTTTGGTGTCGACCTGCATCACTGATAAAGTGATCGATGAACCATGAATCTGGGCTATCATGCGAGAATTGGGAGGAGTTGATGACAAGGTGTCCTACTAGCAGTGTCACTGTGCTTGGGGGGGGTAAAGCCGGAAATTCTCTCTCTAAAATCAGAGCTGCGACACGCTGAGGAGACATGAAGGCCATCAAGATGTGGAATAATGGAAAGTGATACGTGAGGCTTATAAGCTCTCCCCAACTAGAGGACCCGAATCGGTCCCGACTTTAGTGTGGTAGGCATGACAAGCAATTTTTAAACGGGTGAAATAGTCGGATGTGATGGTCTAGACATGACCCAACAATAGTGCGCAGTGGGGAAACGGCCATTTGTGGCTTTGCTCTCTGATGTCCAAGGGTGTAAAGGTATGCCTGCTCAAAGGGAGTGGTGGGTGGGTCTTTTAAATTGAGCAGGCTGGTAGACAAGGAAAGATCTGGCAGCAGCAGCCAGAAAATCGACAAGTGGTGAGAGTGAAGGAAAGAATCAATGCATGCCTCGCTTATTCGCCTTGGGCATAGACCTCATTCTAAGCACGTGTTCATTCCTCTCACTCTCATAGAAAACAATCTATGCATTTTTACTCAAAGCGCGACACAAATAAAACCAAAGCAAGTTCTGTAACGGCTACGACGAAACACGTATAAGTCTATTTGGGTGAAACCCGCAGGGGTTAGGCTGACAAGGACCACTGGGACCTAACAAAAGAAAGCATGAGCTGTGTGTCCCAAAAATTAGGAGGCAAATCGACGCAACAAGCTCAAGCTTGACCCCGACCCAAAAGGAGATAAGCGCAGAAGACTTACTGAACAAAAGACAAAATTTCAACGCGTTGGGGGCAAAGCGTAACGCATAAAGGGCTCCAAAACTGGGGTGTCTTGTAAGTATGGTGCTAGCACCACAGCATGCTTCCGCAAGTAGAGAAGAAAAGCATTGCTGCTCCAACGCCCCATGGCTTTGACATTATCGAAAGGAACCCCTCGCAGCAGATATTCTAAGGTTCCTCCAATGCGAATCCCATGCCCTTTGAGCATTCCGGACCCCAGTTGATCTCCAGCAGTCTGGAGACATGCCAGAAAAGCGGATTTCGTCAGCGGGCGCAGACCTGATGAGTGCCGCCAACTGAAAACTGCAGCTGATGGAGGAGGCTGATTAAGTGCCAAATGATGGCGGAGTGCAGCTTGCGGATCAACTATGCCTGACTGAGCGGCCCAATAAACATCTTCTCCGATGGGGGACACTTTGGTTTGTGGTAATGCAAAGATGACAACTTTGAATCCGTTTCGATCTTCATCATAGTGAATGTCCCCAACCGTCACATAGGAGCTAGGACTAGCACGGAAGGCAGTCAGTGAGGGCACAGTGAATTCACCTGTGCGCGCTATGGTGAAGAAGGTAGTTGTGAGGCATGCAAAAACTGCGGCATGTAGCGGCAGTGACATGTCGAGGACTGAATGTATGTTGGCAATAAGATCTACTGTGAAGGGAACTCGCTTGGGCCGTTTAGAAGAGGGCGGGGCTAAACATGCGGCTCCTGTGAGTGCAAGGGCGGACTCAGCTACATTGATGAGCCAAGGCGCCCCGTGGATCAGGTGCCAAGCGCGAACGGCATAGAAATAGTTGTCAAGTGTGGCACCAGCATATAACCCCGCACAGGCCGAGATAAAGGCCAGAAGCAACACCGAAGGCGCTGGACAACGCTGATCTTCAGCGACTCCTCGAGTATCACAAAAAACATGGTAGACCAGGAGACCTGATCCATAGGTCTCCCTGGTGCCCACTGCATGTGAATGCGATATCACTGCCAGGATTCGGTCTAGGTCTTCATCTGAAATCGGAATGGGTGTACCCATACTATCAATGCGAGAGCGTTTGGCTGCGGGGACCCAAAAACGCAACCGATCTCGAGCCAGACAGTGTGGGCGTAGGGGGGAAACTAGTGGAGTTAAGCCTGCTGGGTAAGGACGTGGTGTGGCTGAGGCTCTTGTGGTCAGAAGTGGGGCAGAAGCTTCCATGAAGCGTGATGTAGAGGCTGCACTCGTGCGTGTGGGCGAGACCGTAGTGTTGACCATTGTGTTCAATGCTTGCCCGGTGAGCCAAACCTGAAGGTGTTCAAATACTGCCACTGACGTTGCCGAAGCGTGATCACTCGATGCTGGTGAGGAAACTGGCAAGGTTACCAGGAAGTTTGATGGGCGGCAGCAGGAGGCTTCGTGAAGGGAAGACACCCCTTGAAGGACCGTCGGCCGGATTGTCTCGACTGGCGACATAACAGAGGTGGAACGAGGTGAAGGCTGGCCGCGAGTTGAGTAAAGCGTGGATCCGCCTGAAGACAAGGTTAGTTGCTCTGTTCCGACTGCGGCCATTACTCCACCCGTCAACCACTCCTTGATTGTCGCAGAAGACCCGGAAATGATGCTGTGCTCTCCCGACATGGGTGTCGAGGAGAGTGTGGACAAGGAGCTCGAAACCAATGGCTTCAGCCCACCCGATGTCTCGAGCTCCATCAAAGGTTTTCCACCCTGACCGCAAACTCCAGGCACGCCAATGCCCATTGACAACAACTCCAATGCCGACAGTGGAGCTGGCATCAGAGAAGGCATGGAGGTCAATGGGCTGGACTGGATGCAGGATGGGGCGGCCGACGAAGGGCTGGGAGAGTTGGTCACTCCACCACTGCAAGTCTTCGTCGAGATGACGGACGGAGTGATGTGGCACGAGAGGACGCGAACTGCAGACACCAAGCATGGCTTCAAGGGAGGTAAGGTAAGCCCGTCCATCCGGTAGAACGAGACAGGCATGAAGCAACTTGCCATGTAGCCGTTGGACGTCAAGTAGTGCGTGGGTGGGTACTGATGACCAATCCATGATGGCCTTGTTGTACTTCTCCTTTTTCTCCTTCGCAAGTTGAACGGTAAGCGTCTCGAGGCACCAGAACAGACCAATGTAAGTGACTTGGAAACCGAACGGACTGTCCTTGGTTGGTTCCCATGGTATGGCGAGCAGCAAGGAAGCGCGATCAATGTCACAGAATGTGTATGCAAAGTCTTCATCATCAATGTGTGGGGGAACTGAAGAATGAGATAGATCCCGCAGAGGGAAACCACAGTCTTCAGCAAACTCGTCGAAGGAACCATCACTGAACTCAGTACCTTTGAACCACAGACGCCCTCCATGCTTTCGCTGACCCACACGAGCCAGCAGAGCATGGTGTGAACACCGAATCTCATTATAACTCCCCAGGTGTTCTTTTCGCACTCGGAAAAATAAATGATCATCAACCCATTTGACAATAGGCCCAAGGCCCTGGGCCCGTAGTAGATCCACTCCCGCATCTGCCACATGTCCATATGCACCAGCAGAAGGGCCCATTCCAAATGCCGTACAGGTATCCACGCAAAATGTGTCGTCGGAAATGCGAACCACGGTTGCTGGCCATTGAGAATGATGTAGAGGTACCGTTCAATAAGCCTCGGCGACGTCCCGTGTGGCAGCTTGAGAACCTGGCGGCAGTCCTCTAATGATGGTGCATACCGTGGCAAAGGTTCCCCAAGTGCATGGGAAATCATCCGAGTCAACTGTGGAATTGATGGAAGGTTGAGGGTGTGCAAGGGATGGAGGATCCGGGAAAGAGAAATTCTGGATGACGCGGTACTTCCCTGGCTTCCCGGACTTGGGAATGATGGATATGGGTGAGGATTGAAAGGGTCCCAAAGCGCGATGGAGTTCCAGCTGTGTGAAAGGCCCAACATAGCGCCCAGTACTAAACTCGCGTGACAGTATGCTGTCAAAAGCTTCGCGATACTGCAGAAGCGACAAACTATTGGATGGAACTTGACTAGAGGTGAGGACTGGAAGACGCAGATCAAAACCTTGCCGCAGTCCACGCGGAATATCTGGATAACGAAGTAGGAGCCCATGAACACGTAGGAGATCCTCCCAAGCTGTAGCATTATATGGTGTGATCGGATGTAACTTTCTGTGCTCGAGGACAATGCTGGGAGCCATGCGTGGTGGACAAACAACCGGTGCAGACGTGACGTTCGTTGTGCGTGCGATTGCTGCAACCGCGAGAACGTTGCCAGTCGAGACAGATTGGTTGATTGGAGGAACGAAGCAACAACTGTTTGTTGATGCGTGTGGCGGATGCAGGATGTGATTTGTTCCATAGCCGTTCGGCAGTGCAATTGATGAAACTGTGGGTGTGACTCCCCAGGCAAACGGCGCACACAGCGGGGGATTGCTGCCCGTGTGCGCCATCTTGAAAACCCGTTCGGCGAGAAGAAGTGCGCGCCTCACGCACAGGGGCTGAGCCAGATTTGTTAGGTGACGCAGATCTTCTGCGCTCAGCTGAGTACTGTGGACGCTGGGCTCCAGGAGATCTCCTGGAATTCCTTGACCGTGGAGCGGAGGAGGTATCAGTAACCCTCAGACCTTGTGAGCGCTAGTGATAACGCAAGTACGCAAACGCAAACACAACGCAAGATCGCAAACGCAACGCAAGATCACAAATGCAAGACGCAATGGTAGACACATATCGCAAACGCAAGACGCAGTGTGAAAGAAATGAACATAAAAGGCAGGGGAAAAAGGGTAAGACTCAGTCAGTGAATTGAAAGGCAAACGAGTTGAATCATACTGACTTGATAATCAAAGTCCTGATCCTTGCGCCTGCGGTCCTCTCGATAAAGACGATCCAAGGTGCGAGATATTTCAACATCATCAAGTATTGAAATGTCCCAAGCACCATCCGGTAACGGAATCGCCTGATGCCAGGCCCTACGCTGCTCTTCTTGATACATCAACAAAGCGCGGCGATCGAGAGGGTCATCCAAGCTCCAATATCGATGCAACATGAGAGCTCCCCAAAAACCTGCCAACATGTGTACTCTTTCATGATTCCACCCTCGCTCGGTTAAGGAAGCGACAAGACGAGGGATGGCTTGTGCGAAATCGAGAGGTTCTAAGCTGCAGTCAGGGACGACGGTGGATGAAGGCCTCGTGGCATTAGCTGGAATCCAGGCAGTGGCGCCGTCCGAGGTTTTGGTGGGTACCATGCCTTCGTCATCAGCAGCACGATAACTGAAGCGCGCGTCTGCTAGACCCTTGTTAGTCCAGTAGTATATCTCCACGAAGTGTCCTTTGTCGAGCTTGCGTAAAGCGAAGTCTGAAACCAGGATATTCTCCGAGGCTCTCGAGGGTCTTGGACGTTTTGGAATGGGTATGTGTTTGAGCCGATTCTTCTTCTTCTCCTCCTCTTCCACTGTTGCATCTGCGAGTCGCTGGGCTTGAAGAAGATGGTCATTCTCCTGGTCGATCAGACGTTGTCTGTCTGCCTCGGCAGCTTGATCTAAAGCAACTTGCGCTTGCCACTGAAGTTGTTGCGCTGCGTTAGTAGCGACCCATACAGCCTGCAAAAGATTGGCTGCTTGATCTTCGGTATTGTTGGCGGCTACAAGTGGCGCCCGACTGGTTTGGTAGAAAGCCGATGTAAAATCCGGACATATTTCAATCTGCGGGTCGGAAAGAAGACGATTCATGAGAATATTATTTAATGGCCAGACTTAAAACTTCTTTTAAATTGAGCAGGCTGGTAGACAAGGAAAGATCTGGCAGCAGCAGCCAGAAAATCGACAAGTGGTGAGAGTGAAGGAAAGAATCAATGCATGCCTCGCTTATTCGCCTTGGGCATAGACCTCATTCTAAGCACGTGTTCGTTCCTCTCACTCTCATAGAAAACAATCTTCCCTCAGAAATCAAGTCCGACCCCATGGCTAATGCTCTTCACCCTCTCCCCATCTACGGTACTCAATTCTTGTCGTCAAGTACTATAATCAACCCCGCTGAATTTATCCAACAGGTATCACCGTCGATTTTAGCAAGTTGAAAACGAATAGAGAATCTGCTGAAGTACGGATTGGCAAATTCAATTCGCCAATTAAACGCGCAGAAGGAAAGAGTTTATGCGAGACGTTTTCTCCACCCATGTAACTTTTAAACACTCGACCCTAATTTATATTCTCACCCGAGTTACTTTGGTGTCTTGTTTGCTTTAGAATGTTTTCTCGCGGGGATATATTTTCCTTACATGTGCGGTACAAGGCACGTTTTGTGATGAAGACCAAAGACATTACTCTCGATCCAGATGACATTTTCCTGGCAACTGGTGGACAAGGTAAAATAATAATAATCGCACTCTCACCTCGCACGAACTCAACTTCACATCTGTAGAATACATCAAGTTGTATAAAAAAATCCGGATCGTCGTCAACCTTTCCGGCAATACCTCAACTAAAGTAAGGATCCACGTCTGGCATCGAAACCGTCTAAGTTGTAGATTGGCAGGCTGAACAGGCTGCCTCTTCCGGCCAAAGCTCCGGGCTCCTACCTACAACTTCCGCCATATTTGAGAAGTGTCCTAGGTGAGTCAGGATGATCATGAGGCACTGGCTTTGAGGCTGACGCTCCCAAGGTTCCGAATTCTGGTAATAGGAAAGGTATCTGACTTCCTCCGATCTCGGGCCAGTGTTGACGACATGCTTTTAATAGGTAGGTGTTGGGAAGTCATCCCTGATCGACCAGGTATTTGGAGTAGACAAACAACAAGTGAGCAACGACACTTCAACGAGCATAGACACTGATACTGTCAATAGATCATCGAGCACGATAAGCCAGGCGAGGCTATCATCGACAAGGAGTTCACCTCACCTGAGAACGACAGGTTCGTTCTCCACGATAGCAAAGGTTTCGAACCAGGGGAAGTAGAAAACCTCACAATAGTCCGAAAATTTATCGAACGTCGGAGGAACATGCCGGATTTGAAAGATCAGCTGCATGCTGTTTGGTGAGGTTTCCATCTCGACCATTCCGTTATGGTAGACTGACTAAATACATGGAAGGCTTTGCTTTCAGATACCCCATGCAGGCGGACGTCTACTAGAGACAGGAACGGAGGATTTCTTGAAATCGAAACGTGATGGAACCCTGGGGGACGGTAAGTGAATCGATAACTACCTCTGCTACGTTGGGCTCACACTTTGTCCAAGTTCCCGTTATCGTCGTCCTTACTAAATACGATAAGCTCATCGAACACGTGGAGCGAACTCTAGATGAAGCTTCTCTCGATGAATCGAGCGATAAAGCTTTGGATGAACTCGTCAAGAACAAAGCAGAAGCAGAGGTGCAGGATACCTGCATCGGGCCTCTAGAGGAATTTTCAGGGTCTGATATCCCCCACGCCACGATCTCCAGTGTGTACCAATACCCTGACAGGTTCATGCGTGCTTCTGAAGTGTAATATTGCAGCCGAAAAAGGCTACGAGGAGACGCTCACCCATCTGATTGAAATAACTGAAAGTTGTGTCAATCAGCATCTTGCACCCGAGGCCGCGGTGATGACCTCCGTCGCCCAGCGAGTGCATCCTGGACTCAAAATAGATGCATTAATTAAGTAAGTCTTGCTTGCCTCATTCTTATCTGGTGATTTACGCAATGTCAGGATTGGCAAACAAAGTTTGTCCCAGTTTCGCGTTCATAATCACTGAATACAGTCTAAATCTCAATGTCTTGCAGGATACTGGAAGGCGCTCTCATCATGTCCAATGTTCAAAAAACACCAGATGCAGGATTGTCTACGCGTGCTTCATAACGACATCATCGATGTGTGGAACTTCCGTGACCCTCATCATGTGATGGCTATCTTATTTGTCGTCGTTGCATCCGTGCTAACATGATCTGCGCATAGTACTTGCGCAGCCAAGAGTTCAGGGATTTGATGATGAAAATGGCCGATAAGACACAAGCTGGATCTACAGCTAATCCCAACACGACCTTGTAAGCCGGTCTTTTGTGTGACAGATAAATTTTATCTCATTGAATGTTTACAGGAAATTTGGGTTATCCATGGTTGGCACTATTGCGGGCATCGTGTCCGCATTAGCGGGACCTGCAGCTCCCATCGTAGTACCAATCGCAGCAGGCGCCGTGGTCGTCGTATGGGTTCGCGATGTATACAAGATGTCGTACGCACCACTATTTTTTTCGTGTGCAAAAGGATATCAACACTTCTTTGTTAGTCACGTGGTGCTTCAGCGCTTCATGGCCTACATTATGCACTTGACACTTGTGTTGCAGACACTTTTTATCGTGTCAGAAAGCCGGGAACTCACTCGTAGGGCCATCAAGCTCGCAGTCAAATCCTACTCCGCCTCCTCAATAAGCGAAGAGGTTCTTACTCGGATTCAGGATTATGTTGGGGGATTGGCTGTCTTGGAACACGCGGATAAGGACACCTTGGACAAAATCGAAGAGATGATGCAATTTTACAAGATCGATGGGGCACAAATCACTGAACTTGCAGCACAAATGTCCAACCTTCAGACAAATATTTATTTGTTACCAGACGAACCATGGTAAATCGAGAAGTCGTAGCACTCGATTGTTTCTTTCTTGGATGGTTTGGGCGTGGGCGGTGTTCGAGTGTTGACGCGATTACAGACAGTGCTCGCTTGTACTATACAACTGGATTTACTATACCCGATCGTAACAATGTAACCTATGCTCTACTGTGTTCTATGTACTTAGTGCTGCTAGATTTTACTCGAGCCTCCAACGTGCCGAGGTATTGTAACAGTTCATAAAAACTTGGCCTCACGCACGAACAATCATTCGACCCCTTTTGAACAGGCCATGGTGCACTGGATTTAGATACTTGGTGAGCTAATGAAATATAATAATGAACAGTGCGATGGTCCCCACTGACCTTTTAGTGTTGAGAATCGATGTAGGTTCGTTCCAGTGGTGGTAAGCCACACGGTATGGCCGTATCCCAGAGCGCATCCATTGCAGGCTCGCAGAATATTTTGCATGTCGTCGCAAGGGCCGCAAGGGAATCACGAGCCAAAAGTACTTTGCGAGATCAATGAAATGCAGATCAGTGCAGCTGTATGCTGAAGGATATCAGAAATGATGCGGTACGGTAGAGCTCGATGCGTGTTGTTTATCGAATCTCTCCTGATTCTAGATGGGTATACGTATTACGCAGCTGCATACAACATGAGGCCTGAGGAATACACGAGGAGTCGATGTGGCTTTGATCATTCGGAAGTGACGGGATATCTGTGTTGGGTCACAAGGATCCGTAAGAGCGGGCAAGGCGGAGAACGTACAAGCGCCTGAGTGCTAGCCATACTTCGAGGTGGTTGGTATCTCGATCACGGGTCACAGGGTCCATGCCTAGAGGGTAGCAGCATCTAACAGCTGGTCTCTGAAGAAGCATGAGCGCTAACTAACCGTGCTTCCTTCTCCTATCATTCAATTCGAATCAGTCATGGCATGGTCGCTCCAAGCCTCCATACATACATATCTGGTACGCCCTCGACCATTTACAAGCGACTAATTAATTCCCTCTCCATCTTTGAAGGGTCCATGGGAAAAGGTACTAGTAGATGTGACGAAGAAGTGTTGGTGTAGCCTTATAATCATTGCAGTGTGCAGTGTGAACCGGCAAATATCCCACCCGAAGCCAGATTCAATGGGCAATGGGCAGTATGGATATATATTGGATGTGTACGTTGAGGCGGAATATTTCAGGTTTTGTTGATCCATATTTGAAATCAGTCACGGTCATGTGCCGGTCAGCTTTTGCGCTTGCCGCCATGAGTTTGCGCAAGTCTCCCATACTTAGTAGTCATACATTGCGAGGAAGACAGTCAGCAAGTCCTTCATGATAATAAGTTATCCTCCAACCGCTTACAGGAGAACTTCAAGTTGATCCCAGTGAGTCTCCCAGGTCGACTCAACAGGTATGTCATATGGCGTTCTTGTGACATACATGTTTTCCATTTTATAATTAATGACGACTGCAGGGTGTTGAGGAGGTGTTTTACGTCAGGGATCAATACTAGTACTCATCTGTGACATGGGCATACACGAGGGTACCTCGCAGCTGAAGCACTGACCCATGGCTTGCCCTCTCCACGTTTATGGTACTCACTTCCTGTCGTCAAGTAGTACCATCAAACCCACTGAATATATCCAATAGGTATCACCGTCGATTCCAGCAAGTCGAAACCCACGTAAGTACTCGACCCCAACACATGTTCTCACCTGAGTCACCATCGTGTCTGTTGCCGTAGGGCGCTTTCTCAAAGGGATACATTCTCCTTACATTTGCGGTGCAAGGCGTGGCTTGGGATGAAGGCCGAGTATCAAGACATTCCTTTCAACCCAGACGACATGTTTCGCGCGTGTCATGCAAGACAAGGTGCAACAAGAATTATCGCGTTCTCATTTTAATCATACGAACTCGACCTCACATCCCTAGGATACAACAAAATTCATAAGAAAATCAGTATCTTCGTCGACCTTTCTAGGAATACAGTAATCGAAGTAAGTATCCCCGTCTTGCATCGAAATTGTCTAAGTCATGGATTAGCAGACTGAGCAGTCTACCTCTTCCGCTAGAGACCTTGAGCTCCGACCTACAACTTCTGAAATATTTCAGAAGTGTCCTCGGTGAGTCAGGATGATCATAAAGTGCCGTCCTTGAGGTTGACGCTCCCAAGGTTCCGAATTCTGGTGATAGGAAAGGTATTTGGCAGCCGTCTTTCTCTGGTCTCGGGCCAGTTTTGATGACGTGCTTTCAAACAGTCTGGCATTGGCAAGTCATCACTGATCAACCACATATTCAAAGTGAAAAAAACGGTGGGCCAAATGCGATGCTTCAACGAGCACAGCTACTCATACTGTCCATAGATCGTCGCCCATGAAAAGCCAGGCGAGGCCAGCATCGACCATGAGTTCATCTCGCCTGAGAATGAGAGGCTTGTTCTCCACGATAGCAAGGGTTTCGAACCAGGGGAAGAAGACAACCTCAAAATAGTCCAAGATTTTATCGAACGTCGGAGGAAGATGCCTGCTATGGAACATCAGTTGCACGCTGTTTGGTAGATTCTATCTCGACCATTCCATTGTGGTGAGCTGACCAAATACATGGAAGGCTTTGCTTTGAGATACCCTGTGCAAGCGGACGTTTGCTAGAGACGGGAACGGAGGATTTCCTGAAATCGAAACATAGTGGAATGCTGGGAAACGGTACGTTCATCGATCCTATCTCTCTGTTACGTTGGAGCTCACACTTTGTCAAAGTTCCCGTCATCGCCATTCTTACTAAATACGATATGCTCATCGATCGGGTGGAGCGAAATTTAGATGAAGCCTCTCTTGATGGATTGGACGACGAAGCCATCAAGGAACTCGCCAAGCAACAAGCTGATGCCGAGGTTCAGGACAGCTGCATTGGACCTCTAAAGCAATTTGCAGGGGCTGGTATTCCCCACGCTACGACCTCTAGTATGTACCGATATTCTGACAGGTTCATGCATGCCTCTGAAGTGCAATATCACAGCCAAAGAAGACTATAAGGAGACTCTCAACCGCCTGATCAAGATAACTGAAAGCTGTGTTGGTCAGCATTCTACGCCCGAGGCCGCGGTGATGACCTCCATCGCTCAGCGAGTGGATCCTGGACTCAAAATAAAGGCATCGATTGAGTGAGCCTTGCTTGCTTCATTTTTATCTGGTGATTTACGCATTGTCAGGGTTGGCAAGAAAAGTGCGTCCCGGTTTCGCGTTCATAATTACTGAATACGGTTTAAATCTTCGTGTCTTGAAGGGTATTGGAAGGCGCTTATGTCATGCCCAAGGTTCAGGAACCGCAAGATGTGGGATTGTCTATACGTGCTTCACACTGACATCGTTGATGTATGGAACTTCTATGACCCTCATCTTGTGATGGCTATCTTATTTGTCGTCCTTGCACTCGCCCTAACGTGATTTATGCACAGTACTTGCACAGCCAAGAGTTCAGGGAAATGATGATGAAAATGATCGATACGATACAAGCTGGACCTACACCTAATCTCAAGAAGACCATGTAGGCCGGTCTTTTACGTGACGGATGAATTTTTATCTCATTCAATGTTTACAGGACCTCTGGATTATCCATGCTGGGCACTATTGCGGGCATGATGTCGGGACCTGTGGCTCCCATCGTAGTACCAATCGCAGCAGGTGTCGTACTCGCCACGTGGGTTTACGAGGTATACCAGATATCGTACGCACCACTATTTTTTGTGTACGAAAGGATATCGACGATTCTTTGTCAGCCACGCGGTGCTTCAGCGGTTCATGTCCTACATCATCCACTTGACACTTGTGCTGCAGACACTTTATCTTGTGTCAGACGGCCAGGGACTCACTCGTAGGGCCATCAAGCTGGTGGTCGCTTCCTACCTCGCCTCCCCAATGAGCGGAGAAGTTCGAATTCGAATTCAGGATTACGATATGCAATTGACGATCCTGGAACTCGCGGACCGCGATACCTTGGATAAAATCGCCGAGGTGATGCAATTCTATAGCATCGACGAGACACAAATGTCCAAACTTCGGGAAAAGCCCACAGTAGATTTGTCATTAGATGAGGCATGGTAAATTGAGAAGTCGTAGCACTCGATTGCATGTTTCGTGGATCATTTTGTGTATGGGCGGTGTCTGATTCTGATGCGATTACAGAAGGTACTATACAACTGGATTTATGGCCGATCATAACAATGTAGTCTCATGTACTAAGTTACTGCTAGATTTTACTCGAGCCCTTTGAGTCAAACGTGTCCAGTGCCGGACCGGGCACATTGATGGATATACGCAGCTGCATACTGGCACATGAGGAATACACGAGGAGTCAGATATCGAAGTGACGGTATATTTGTATTGGGTCAAGCGCTTGAGGCCTGATCACGATAGACTGGTGACCAGCCCGTCTAATGAGGCAAGCCGTCGATAGACGGACTGGTAAATCTGGGTTTGAATTCGGATAGTGCGCGCTTTGGAGTCGTCACATGACCGACAACCCTTTTCGGGGCTTAGACGTTGCTTAGATAAGTCTGTTAAGTTGTTCGATCATACATCGTGTTCTAACGTTTCCCATCGACTCCGGCAGCGATCGACCAGGTCTCTTCCGCTGGCCGCTGCAGGGCAGCGTCACGTTGCACTCGGACAGCCCTATTTATGATTTGAATTCATACTTCAGCTTCTTCTGAGATAGTACTGGTCCTACTAAGCTCTGTTCTCAAGGGAAAGATGTCTCAAGGACTTGGATGGCCCAGGGATGACGGGGACCTCTCGATGCTCATCGACACTGATATCAACCGGTCCATAGACTCTGGATTCGTCGACCTCACTGCGGAAGCTCCTGCAGAAACCTCCCGTTCGAGTACCAGAGGCAGCCGAATGTCTACACACGAATGCATCAGCAGTGCCCTGAAAATACTGCGGGATGGTCGGATATCTATTCTGGACTTACTTGTGAAGATAATGGACCCATCTCAGATGTTGTACTCAACTTACCGCAACCGCATGTACGTGCCTTCAGCAACTGAGAAGCAATTGGGAAACGGGAGGTTGGAGAAGGTGCTGGATTTTTTATGGGAGGATCCCCGAAGTCATGCTCGCGTTCTCGAGTGGATGCATCCGCATGCCCTCTCATATGTCTGTGATGCTGTGTACGGTGAAATGGACCAGGTCAAACAGTGCCTCCATGTCACGCTCAATACTATCACTCCTGAACTCCTCCATGAGTTCAAATGTCCCCCATACATAGAAACTAGTAACAGTATGTGAGTCAACTTCACCTGCCAAAGTGATGTGTCGTTCGGGGTGTCTTCATTAATTGATATTGTAGATATACCGTATTTCATGCATTCATTGACCTGCCACAGGCTCGTTCTCGCACATAATGAGTCAATATCAATTCAAATCTCACCTGTGTGATCTGGAGACGTTTCAAAGGTGAAATTGTCACACTGATAGTGTCCGGACGAAGTAGATTAGGAATGATGAGACACAAGGTCTTTCCACAGCCTGTACCAGCTGTAATTATGCTGTCGCGGCCGTTCAACGTTGCGAGAACAGCTTCTAGCTGAAATTGTCGGGGAACAATGGTTGTAGCTGTGAGGATGTACACAAGCAGGCAAGCGCGCAACGCGTCCGTCTTATCTTTGCTACTGAGGGTTTCGATGTAGCTGGTAGGGAGCCGTTCTTGTATCAGCAAGCGAGCAAATGAATCTAGTCCTTCCAGTGATGCTTCCCGCACAGCTTGGATGATTGAGTTCATGTCCATTGTAGAGTAAATAGATACATTAACGACACGACCGTGTTTGCCTCGCGTCAATATTCAAACATTAATTTCAATATCTCAAATATCCTCGACAAAATTTTAGTTTTCGGATTGGCTACAGGTCATGTGACGACTCCAAAGCGCGCACTATCCGAATTCAAACCCAGATTTACCAGTCCGTCTATCGACGGCTTGCCTCATTAGACGGGCTGGTCACCAGTCTATGATCACGAGTACTGAGTAATATTAGCCATCGATCGAGACGGTCAGCATCCCGATATCAGGTCACAGGGTCCGCCAAAGGGTAACAGTACATAATTGTCTCTTTAGAAGCACGGTGGCTTTGTACAAGCGCTAGCTAAGCTAACCGCGCTTCCTCCTCTCACTGCCATTCAATTCTAATCAGTCACAGTGTGATCGCTCCAAGCCCCCATACACCCTCGAGCATTCCCAAGCTTGAACAGGCACAATTTTTGACCCAAATTTCATAACCAGCTGGGCGTATGCGTGAATAACTAGTATGGGTGCTACACGAAGATACCTCCCTTCTGCGTAGCTAACGCATGGCCCACGCTTGGCCTCTAGATAAATCCACTATGAGGAAGGAACGTCTTCCCTAACTCGAATAAGGATACAGCATGGCTAGTTCCCTTGACGCTTCGCCGGTTTCTCCTCTCTACATCTCTGGTACTAGTTCATCAACGGAATCATCAATCCCACTGAATATATCCAATAGGTGTCATCGTCGATTTCAGCAACTCGAACAAGAATGTGGAGTCCGCTGAAGTACGAATTAGCCGCAAGTCGCCCATGCCAATCGAAAGTGGGGCTGGAAAGGCTTTGCGACAGACGTTTTCTCCACCCATGTAAGGACTCGACCCCGACAACTGTACCTACCTGAGGTATTATCGTGTTTGATCATAGGAACCTTTCTCTCGAGGATACATTTTCCTTGCATGTACGGTATAAGAGATGGTCATCAGTGAACCGGTGAAGAAAGTAGAAAGCCATATATCACAATATATAGTACACAATCGCACACATCAGCATAATTCTGCCATCGGTCATTACATTATCATGTTTGACCTTGTAGAGGAAAGAAGCATTTTTCATTTTCTTATATCTGCTTCCGATGTCAAAGCTACTCAGGAAAAACCTCCTTCTCAAATTGGATGAAATGCGATCCAACTTGCACAAATCTGCAAGAATTTGAGGATTTGGCAATCTGTCCAATTATTTTAATCCCTTTCAAATTTTCGTAAATAGGATCTCAATTCACGACAATACTAGCACATTATTTTCAGGCAGCTTTTCCAATTCAATTAAATGATATCAAACAAATTCCATTAAATTTTAAATCTGACATAAACAGCGAACATCTATCTATCTATTATAGATGAGAGCGAGTGAGAGATATGTTGTTGTGTCGTCGTTGTATTGTCGTCGTTGTGTCATCGTTGTATCCGTCGTCATCATCGTTGTGTCATCGTCGTTGTGTTGTTGTGTCATCGTCATTGTCGTCTCGTCGCGTCGTCGCATCGCATCATGTCGTTGTCGTGTCATCGTCATCTCGTCGCATCGCGTCATCGTTGTCATCTCGTCATTGTCGCATCGCGTCGTCGTTGTCGTCGCATCGCATTGTCGTCGCATCGTGTCGTTGTCGTCGCATTGCGTCGCATCGTCGTCGTCATATCGTCATTGTCGTCGCATTGCGTCGCGTCGTCGTCGTCATATCGTCATTGTCGTCGTCGTGTCGTCGTCATTGTTGTCGTATTGTCGTCGTCATTGTCATTGTCGTCGTCGTGTCGTCGTCATTGTCGTCGTATCATTGTCGTCATGTTGATGTTGTTGGGTTGTTGCTGTCGGGTCATCGTCGTTGTCATCGCACCATCATCGTCGGCCAAAGTGGCAAGTGAGAGTAGCGATGAGTGAGAGCGAGTGAGAGCGGGAAGAAAGGTTCAAGTTGAACTTTTGTGAGCGCACCGTCACATGAACAAACATATACAAATGTTGGACTTAGGATATTTCCAGCGCTGTAGCACAATTGATCCCGCTGATGCCTTGTAGAGCGCCGCTGTACTTTCACATTTGCAATAAGCAGCAATCAGAAACATGTAAAGCATTGTTTTGAAAATACTTAATGTAGTCTTATTGAAAGCGGAGGCCGCTGGAAGCGGTACAGCCAGTTTCGAAAGTTGTCCGCTAAAGGTATCTTCTCACGAGAAGGGCTTGAATAGCATTGTAATGGGATAAATAAATAGGGCCAAACGACAATGCACGAAATAATTGGGATAAGTCTACTACCACCCCTCATTATCTGAAAAGGAGGAATGTCATAGCTTTGTGACTAAATCTAATGGTATTTTATATTTGTCGACAAATGCCCGAGGCTCTTTCCATCAAAAGGCCTTAAATAACATTGTAATTAAAAAACAAGATCAGGTAAGATGTCGAAGCTCAAAACAATTGGCTCAGGTATACTACCACTACTCATTGGCTGCAAAGGCGGAATGTCCCAGGATTGTTATAAATCATTCATGTTAAGCTGGATTTACAAGCATACATGAGTATATATGTGCAACTCAAATTGCTCGCAGTATATAAGCTAATATTTGGCGGCAGCAGAATTACATCGTGCTATACTTCCCACGGCTACAATATCGAGGACTCATCAATTCACTGATGGTATGGAACCGAGCATAAAGACATTGCTTTCGAACCGGTTGAAGACATGTTCCGCAAGTGTAGTACAGGAGAAAGACGAGGTGAAACAATAACTATTGCGCTCTCCGCTTGATCACTCACAGATTCCACCTCACATACACAGAATACAAAAAGGTTCATAAAAACATCAACATTTTTGTCGAACTTTCCGGGAATCCAACGACCGAAGTAAGGCTCTATGTCTCCCATCGGAAACCATCTAAGTGGTATGTTAGCAGACCGAACAGGTTTTCTCCTCCGATGAAACCCGGGAACTCCGGCCTACCACTGATGAAATCTTTTGGAAGTGTCCTCAGTGAGTCTGGATTATAGTAAAGTGCCGTTCTTCAGGTTGATGTCAGGGGCTTTCAAGGTTCCGAATTCTGGTGATAGGCAAGGTACCAGGTTTTCGCTTATCTCAGGCCGGTGTTGACACGGTATTTCCAATAGACTGGTGTTGGCAAGTCTTCGTTGATCAACCACGCATTTGGAGTACAAAACACGGTGGGTTGACCACGACACTGCACAACGTCCAGCTACTCATCCTGTGAATAGACCACTTCGCACGCACAGCCAGGCGAGGCCACCATCGACCAGGAGTTCATCTCACCGCAGAACGACAGGTTCATTCTTCACGATAGCAAAGGTTTTGAACCAGGGGAAAAAGACAACGTTGTCCGAGATTTCATTGGCCGTCGGAAAGCAATGCCTGATTTGAAAGATCAGCTGCACGCTGTTTGGTGGGGCCTCCATCTTAGTGCATCTATACGGCAAGCTGATGACATACAAGGCTTTGCTTTGAAATACCCCGCGCAGGCGGGCGTTTACTAGAGACCGGCGTGGAGCAATTTCTCACGTCGAAACGCGAAGGAGAGCTAGGAGAAAGTATGTTGATGGATTGCTACCGTTCTGGCCAGATCACAGCTAATGCAGGTCGAAGTTCCCATTGTTGTCGTTTTCACCAAATACGACACCCTCCTCGACCGCATGGAGAGAACTCTGAACAAGTCCTTCACCAAGGATTTGAGCAAGGAGGCCGTCCAGGAACTCATGAAGAAAAGTGCGAAAGACAAGCTAAAGGAAGTTTGCATTGCACCCCTAGAGAAATTTGCAGGGTCCAATGTTGAGAGACGAGAACTAGAGTACGAGGCTCAGTCACGGTTAAAGGGACTCAGATTCAATGTAGTACTACAAACCTAGAGTACGAGGCTAATGTATATAGTGAGTATAATGGAATAAGAAAGAGGGAAAACATGATACACACCTCAGTCACGGTTAAAGGGACTGAGGTGCGTTGGTGCGTGTTCGTAGTCTTATATAGAGTTAGAATAGAGTTAGAATACGGTTGAAAACGGGAAGAGAAAATGAGTAAGGTACTGTTACTGTCTTGCATTCATATATGTCAGGACGTCGTGACGTCCTGGATGCCCTGGTGGTCAGGCGCACTCTCAACACTCCCACTCGCCAGACCACGCAGGGCAGTCTGACGGAGACCCATCTCCTCTCGGTGACGACTAACTGCTGGACGAGGTACATCAGTAAACTACAAATTTGTCCACAGAGATTGGTATTTTCGATAGTTTCTCACAATAATGCACAGCGCTGACAGTGGTCACAGTGCATGCAGCTTCACACACTGTCAGATTGTACAGTAACGCACAGTGCCAACAGAGGCCACAAGATGTATAGCTTCATACTTGTCATCAGATTGCACAGTAATTACAGCTGCTCAAAGCATGTGCAATTCACACAACATACTAAGTGATTTTGAACCAAGTGGACTTAGAGCACTTGGCAAAGACATGACACTGTGTACTACTAGTTAGACTCAAAATTCAACCTTATGCGGAAAAATTCGAGTGCAAAACAAATCTTATACTTGGCAACAGGCGACATGAGCATACTACATATAAAACTTATATACGGTCCATAAATGTGAGCTATGAGATCAGTAAGAAATGAAGCGATCAATCAAGAACTATCGTAGGCTGTTGGCTCTTCGTGTTTTTCAAGTCAGACATTCCTGTAATGTTCAGCGTTATAACAACGATACTCGAGATATCATATTGCACCTACCGAACGAACTCGATCGATCTTGTCCCCGTAATAATGAATGGCTCGGAGGGAGATGAGACCAGCCATGCTTCTTGAAGATTATTCGCATGCATCCCAGCCCAAGGTCCGTGTCATCTACCTTCTTTTCAACGACTTTTGCTCGGAATTTGAGTAGGCTTGCGAACACCTCATGTTCACGTAGTAGACAATCCGTGAGAGCCTTTTGGGCGAGGAAAACATCGCTGTTTTGCTCTTACAACATCCATGACCAAGTTGGCTTCTGAATCTGTTGGTTCGTGGATGGACTATTGAAATGTGAAGGTGCTGAGGAACTGATGGAATTCGTCTCACCATAGAATTGACTGCTTCAAGCACATCGTATAAGTCGCATATACCAGTCAACTGGTCCATCACTGCGTTCATTGTTAGAGCCAGAATGGGTGGAACCTGAAGAACAGAAGCGCTTGCTGATAATGATCGCAGAGTAGCGATATCGAATTTAAGTGACTCGGGAAACATGAGGAAATAATGTAACGCTGCAGGTTCCGGATATTGCCGGTCGATTTCTGACTGTGTCTTTCCTTAGTCCGCGATCCCAGATTCCTAGCATAGTAATGCTTGCAGCTCGCTGTCCTTCATGCGGGACAGAATTCAAAGACCATACCTCCGTTGCTCGTCACATGAGCCAACCTCGATCCGGGTGTAATACTTGGTTAGAAGATCTAATCCGGCTCGACTCAGGTCCTCCCACCCAGCGAAGATAATCCCATGGCAGCGGACGACCTTCACGACCTTCATACTTCCTCCTATGAAGCAGGAGATGATGTACATATGTATGACTTTGGAAACGAAGGAGGGACTTTCGAGCGAGCATCTGGAGAGAGAACTCGGGATGAGGATAGAGATGCAGAAGTAACTGAGTACTTTCCTGAGCCCCCGGTCGCCTTTGAACATGGCTACACATTCCTGAGTCTATTTGATTCTGACGAAAATAGCATCTACCGCAAAACCAACCTTTACTATCTGTTTTCAAGTCGGAGAGAATGGCAAATTGCGGCGTGGCTTCTGCATTCCGGACTAAGCATGGGGAAAATCGATTCGTTTCTAGCATTGGAGATGGTCTGTGCTTTGTTTTCCCGACAATTTGAGTTAACAGTGTGCTTAGATCCAGGATCTACGTCTGTCATTTCACTCAGCAAAAGAGTTACGAGGCCGAGCTGAAACACTACCAAGTGGTCCGCGTTGGAAATCCCAAGTCATTTGTACGTCTCATGATACAAAATCACCAGTTGTTCTCTACTGGTGGGATCCGATTGACTGCATCAGCAATTTATTCAATCACCCTTTATTTCACAACCGTATGGACTTGACGTCTCGCAAAGTTTATACCACGGCACGGAAGCTATCTCGGGTGTATACTGAATGGATGATGGGTGACCATGCATGGGAAATGCAGGTATGTGATGCGTCTTGTATGAAGTCATTGCCTCATGTATTGTTGAAGTCGGCGCTACCTTGTGGCGCAACACTCCTTGGTACTGTCTTGTCTTCGGACAAGACATGTATCACTGCATTGACAGGTGATCGTGTCACACATCCCCTCCTTCTCAGTCTTGCAAATATTCACATGAACACACGGCTCAAATTGTCCTCAAACGCCTTCGTACTTACTGCCCTGCTACCCGTCCCATAATTCATTCACAAGAAGAAACGAATGAAGGGTGTGTTACAGGATCGGCTTATTCACCAGTGCCTGGACATTGTATTAGAACCATTGAAGTCGGCTACTCGAGAAGGCGTCATGTTGTCAGATCCCACTGGACGCAGTCGTTACTGCTTCACTCCACTTGCAAGCTACATCGCAGACACTCCTGAAGCCATGATGCTCGCATGTGTCGGTGGAAAGACGTCTCCTGTGACAATGGCCATGTTCAAACAATTTGGAGATGCCTTCCGACATGAACCTCGCACAAGAGCAACAACTCTCGCACAGCTAGATGTTGTGCACTCGTGTGCTGATCAAAACGATATTGAAGCATTTTTCCGGGAATCGCAGAAGTTCCGACTGAATGGTGTCACAAAACCATTCTGGAGTGATTGGGTCTTAGTGGATCCTGACCGGTTTCTCACACCTGAATCACTGCACGTCATTCATAAGAAGTTTTGGGATCACGACGCGCAATGGCTTATCCTTGCAGTTGGATAGTCTGAGATAGACTTTCTATTTTCCATCCTGCAGCCCACCACTGGTTATCGGCATTTTCACGAAGGCATCTCAAAACTCAAGCAAGTCACAGGTCGTTGCCATCGAGACATTCAGCGATCAATTATCGCAGTCTGCGCAGATGCAGCACCCTCTGGTATCATTGTTGCTGTCCGTGCACTCATGCACTTTCATTACCTTATACAATCGCCACACATCAATGACCATGATATCTGTCGCATCTCAGCTGCATTAGACGAGTTTCACGCCAATAAACATGCAATCATCAGCACTGGAGTTCGCCGAGGAAAAAGCCGTACCGTTATCGACAACTGGTACATACCTAAACTCGAGCTTATGCAAAGCATCGCTCCCAGCATTCCGCAGCTCTGGCGTTATGGGACAGTGGTCTGCGGATGTCACTGAGCATGCGCATATTACGGTAGTAAAAGACCCCGCGAGATCCAGCAACAACAACAACTACGATCCCCAAATCTGTCGTCATCTTGACCAGTGCGGATAAGTGCAGTCGGTTCGAACTCACCACAAGCCTTCTAGATCGCGAGTAGAATATTGAGGAGTTGCAGGGTGTCAGAGACGAATTTGCGAATGAGGATGACGAGACTGACAGCGATGTGGACGACACACCCGCAGGACTACCCTCCACATCTCGACAACCCGGACAGCCGCGTCCTACTACAAACTATTTTGTGATCGCCAAGATGCTCCAGCAAAGGGAAATGGGATCAGTGCCGGTCCCATTACGCACCTTTGTCATTGGACGGACAGCCTTTCATCTTGCTTACGATCCTTCTATTAGGAGCATTACTCTTGATGAAGTTGCCATCAAGTTTGGCCTACCAGATCTGCGCCCAGCTATGGCTGATTATCTTCACCGTGAGGTGACTTACAGCAACCACATTCACTCGATTGGTGGTCCCAGAAGGGCTGGACATAACGCCGAACTTCCATTTCATAAGGTTCAAGTCTGGTTTAAAGTCCGTTTACAGGAGACGGAATTTCACGACATCTGCGATATTTGCCCAGCTCAGACATTAAACTGCGTGCCACCCAGCGACCCCTGGACATTTGGCCGTTATGATAATGTCATTATCCAGACTAGCACAGAGCACTCTTGGCCTGCTAGTAGTCTCACAGGTGCACTCTTTCTGCATTTATTGTGATATTTACTGTAAGTTAAAGAGTGTTTCACACAGGTCACTCCATCGCACAAATCAGATTGATTATGCGGCCAATTGGCAAGAACGGCACGCTGTGGGCATGGAAAGACCAATTTGTTGCCTATGTCCAATGTTTCGATATCTCTAGTGAACGTGATCCAACTACTCAGTTGCACGTACTGAAAAGAGCAAAGCATTCCAATGGCATTCGGACTGGGCAATGTTATTCCACTTTCTCAGCTGAGAGCGCCTGTCAACCTCATTCCCCGCTTTGGTGCTGCTGCAGATAAGCGCCTCACACCCTATAATAGCATGGAGCATGCAACTGAGTTTTGGTTAAATTATTTTTGGGACAAAAACACCTTTTTTGTCCTATCATCGTAGTATACTTGCACTAAGGTCGTACTTGATAGGTTCAATTTTAGTATGTTTAAAAATCACCCCCAAGTCGTACTATTGTAGTCGCCAATGGTAAGTATTCATCCAACTGTTACTCCAGTCTACATAATGGCGTATCACAGCAAAACCGTTGACTATGGAATGAAGATGGCATCGCTGATGTCGGTTCCCTACATTAGCGATGTCCATACTATGGACAAACTGACAGATCGCGAGCTCAATCGCTTGATCGTCGAAGAAGAAAAGCCACCAGATAACGCTGACGAGCCTCTCAGTTTCATGTTGGCGCGGATTTTTTCGGTCATTTATGGTCACACTCCCTGACGTGATGGAGCTGAGGGTCCCTTTACATAAAATTCGCTACAGGGATCACAGACTTCACAGTAAATTCAGCCTCTTACACGAACAGGACCTGGTTCCGCTGTTCGATGAAGATGAGCAGCAGTGAAACTGGGCGCTTCCAACATCGCATCTCGACGAGCCTCGCATCGAACAGGTTGAAGAAACTGTTGGAGATGGGTCAGATGAAACTGAGAATGAGATGTCTGGGAGTGGGGTCAGCGACAACTTACCGGAGGCTCCACCGGTTGAGGCTCGGAAACATCCATTTGAGGAAATCTTCGCCTCATTTTTCAATATCGTGTCTGGTGCTGTTGCCCGTGAGCAGCCAATGGTCATGAAGGCGAATAATGCAGTGATACGTACGTGGAGTTCGGCCAATGCCACGCGTCCTGTGAAGGACGAGGAAATGCAATGCAAGCCTGACCTTGCACTGTTGGACGACATGACAGCTCGGTGGGACACGATCAAGGCTGTTTGTGAGCTGACATCACAACCGTACTCACCTCAAAGCACCATCGGAAAAACCATCGATAGCAAGGCATATCTTCTCTTGAGGCGATTTGTTTTACTGCTATCCCTCACCAACGGGTACCGTGAACTGCGAGTACACATGTACGACCACTCAGGTGGTGTTGTAACGCCTGGTATCAATATCGTCAGCGATCCAAACTTTTACCTTCACATCTTATCCTGTCTTGTCTTTGGCAATCCTGAGTGCCTTGGATACGATCCTTCGATCCTCATCTTTACGAAAACACTTCGGCCTGCCCAGCTTGAAATTCCATCAGCTTTTTCTCGCCCGATGACAAACAAACCACCTACTCTAGATCAAGCATGCGAATCCTTAGTCGAATCTCCAATGGATGAGGTTTTCCAGGGTGGGAGTACTGCCCCCCCTCAGATCGGGAGCGCCGTCCCCACAATGTCTAATGCACCAGCGAGTGCCTCCACAACCAAAGCTACAGTAACTCCTGACCCCCCCCCCCCCCCCCCGAGACAGAAATCCCCACAGATCCTCTTCGTACGCATCCCTCACAGCCGATTGGAAAGATATTAGTCAACAACCACACATACGACATCCTTGAACTCATCTTTTCTAGCCAGGGGCTTGTTGGGCGCGGCACAGTCTGTTATTTGGCCAGGAGGGGCGATGAAGAATACATAATCAAGGACCATTGGGTCCTTGGGGATAAAAATGTTGCCTTGAATGAAGTTACGATGCTTCAGGCCATGCAAGGAGTCCGCGGTGTTCCTCAACTAATTGAACATTGGCTTGTTGAGATTGGGCCTCAAGAGGTTGATGAAACGATGAGTTATTGTGGCAAGATTTGGCAGAGTATCAAAGGTACTTCACGCACACATGTTCGTTTGGTCTTGAAGCCCCTGTGCGCGACCTTTACACACGTTCCGGATGAAAGTAGAGTTGATTAGTGCGATTCGGGACATCGTTAAAAGTAAGTGTAGTCTCTGCTCACTCTTCCTTTTGCTGACTTGTTTTTCAGTTCAACAGATAGCTGTTGAAGAACGTGGAATTCTCCACCGAGACTGCAGTCTCAACAACTCCATGATCGAGGACGACGGTCATGGATCCCATGGAACATTAATCGATTGGGAGTTCACTGTGCGTATTCTTACAGGCCAAAAATATGCTATCAGGGGGACGGTCAGTACACATTTACCTATGTAGACTCAATATGCTGACATTGACTGTCAGGGAACGGCACCTTTCATGTCCCGTTCGCTCCTGTTCCAGCTCTCTGAAGCTGTTGGCAGTACTGCAATGTCTCAAAATAGTTGGAAGCATGCCTCACATTCCGTGTACAAGCACCTCCTCTTATCATGCACGGCTGTCAGGACGATCTCGAGTCAGTATTTTACGTCTTCATTTGGATCTGTATTGGGTACAGGGGTCCACTTGGCGTGAAACGTGTTCTTGGGCCTCGGAAGCCATCAGAAGGGGATTGGCTACTGCGTCTGTGGTCCACCGACTCCTTCAAGGAGAATGGTAACGAGAAGACCTCATTCTTTTTCCATCTGCATGCACACAAATTCAGGGAGCAATTCCACTCCTACTTCCATGACCTACTTCCACTTGCGGAGGAGTGGTATGAATTAATTAGGAGCAAAGGACCATCGCATTCGGTGACATTTAAAGAAGTCATCGATCTTTTGACTAAGCACCTCAACATCCTTCCAAAGGATGAGCCTTCCCCAGAGCTTCTATTCGCGCGGAAGGTCATTGATGCACTCCCTGGTGGACTCCCTGATGCCCTCCCTGGTGGAAAGAGAAAGGAGGTGTCCGAAGCAGTTGATAATGATTTACCGGTCATGGAACATGACATGGCATTCGGGGGTCAGGTTCTTTGGACGATGGAAACCTTGCCCCAGCCAAAGCGGATGAGAACTGGCTAGTATGTCTACTATACGTACAATCTCAGCTCATGTTCGAACTCATTGATGTGACTGGCTGCTACTATTACAATAGATGCGTATACTTGAACTTTGTTAGCCGAACAGTTTTCTCAGGCAGTTTGAGTCCCGATTACGTTATGCGTATCATTAACCTCACCCATTCATCTTCAACGACGAAAGATGACTCAGACCGACTTTCGCCTAAGTATCCTTTACTTTTTGCATCCCCATTTACCATTATATAAGAGTCTTGTGCACACCTTATGACACTGTTCGCAGGCTCGGATCACCTCGTGCAAGATATTATTCCGGCAGGTGGAGATTGAGTCGTGTTTGAAGCGGTTGAGTGAGTTTTTAGACTACTTAAAGGTGAGTACCTGGAAACTGTCAGCTTGGTGTCTCATCCCTCCAATTCTCAGCCATGCCTGGTAGCCCTAGTAAGAAAAAGAGAACGAAGCGCAAAGCTCCGGACTCTGATCTCAAGGCACTCGAAGGGCAAGCAGGCTCAGAAAAGTGATCGCGAGCTCATGCTAAGGCATCAACTAATGATGCGGGTGAGTCTCAGCCTCGATGTTCGGGTCGTCCGGGTGCAGGGAAAGGAGGTAGGGGCGCCCAGCTGGAAAAGATAGGTGCTATCTTGGATGCTCCAGCGCGGACGAGCCAACCGAAGGGCACCACATCCCTTAATTCAGATTTTCCCGTGAACCCTCTTGCTCCAGAGTTACCTCGCAAGGGTCGTGGGAGTCGGTCCAAAGTATTTGCTCCTAATGATTCGAGAAACAACACTGATCGGACACGCAGATTAAGCAGCCCCCTCCTCCTTCACCACTTCAGAGACATTGGATTCAAACACCATGGTTCCCAGACCACGCCCCAAGAAAATTAAGGTAAGTTTTTAATTCTCAAGCGCTCATGTATTAATTCTACTTAAGAAAATTGTCGCTCCTTCCCTGAGCCTTGAGACCTCGAACAACCAGCCCACTTTCGTTCAACGCGAAGTTGGCCAACGGTACGGATTTTCTCCACCTGTTGTTCCTCCTGGTACAGAGCTGGATCTCCAAGCACTCAACAATCCATTTGTGGCTGCAGCCAAGGCTGCCAAGGAGCAACATGTTGCATCTCACAACTCCCATCTCATTGTTGCTGACGCCTTCAAACGTCATCCTCCTGCTGCTCCTACCAATGACCATTTGTTACAGCAGGTACTTTCACGGCCAGTTATTGCGAACCTGTCGGACGATAATCTTGATCCCACACTTCGGTCAATCAACCAGGGCGACTTCGGACCGCAAGACACAGACACTGAAGGTTCAGACGCTTCCGAGGAGGGGAGTGATAGTGAGGATATGTCTGATGGAGACGATGATAGTACAAACCAACAAATTGGTTGGGGAGAATCTAGAGGACACCATAATGCACATCCTGGTACGTGATTGACCATTGTTGCTGCGATGGCATTAATCAGTGACAGGTTTTTCGGAGGAAGTCCAACCATCCCAACCTCGGGTTGCCGTCGCTCTTCCTACCGACTTCGAATTCCAGCACTCGCGGGATGAAGATGATCAAGCAGCTGGGACTTTGGCGTTCGATTATGCTTCAGGCAGTGACGATTCGGAAACAGGTGCCTCCCAGGTATGACTTATTGATATATTTGAAGTGAGCTCACATTTTCATAACTTCTAGCCGGCTGATGTACTGGAACTTCACCATAAGAAAAATGGTCATCCTCGCCTTCCTGATCCTGCCCTTCTGGCTGGGTGCCCTCATTGTGAGTGAAGGTACGATGGTGGAAGTGGATGGCAACCGGTTTTGCCTTGCGACCGGTGAACCATCTGCAGCTCCTAACATATCACCACCGGTCTGGCCGCCCATCCAAGATGCACCCGGAGTGAACACATTGTTAGTCACAGTGCGGGCAAACGCACTGATGGATGAGCCAGGGACTGCGATGGCAGGTGGATTGTATGCCGGTGGAGTCGCCATTGTCGCTTGACCAGACCTCTGCTCCCTCAGATACCTCACAATGCCTCTCACTTCGGCCGTACACTCACTGAGGAGTCCCCGCTGCACACACACATCCCGCTCGATCTCATCAACCTGCATGAACATGGCATTATCAGATGCCTCAGCGAGTTCAATGCAACGCTCCAGGTGATCATGCCAGAGGTCAATTTCCATCCTATCGCGTGTGCAAAGTTCCTGCATGTCAGTGCGAATTTGGGCCAACATGGCCTCCATCTTCTCATTAGCAAGAGGGTGCTGGGTGGCAGAAGGCGCGAGCCCCTTCAGTGACAAATTCCGTATTATACGGGCCACCCGACCTCCATAATATCCCGTATGAGACGGGCCAGCTGATCATGGGCCCATGTTGTGTATATTCTCGATGATGACGGATGGGCCGGGACTCATATTATTTCCGATGGAGACGGGTGGGCCCATGTATGCCAATGATATATATATCCTTAATGTTGACGGATGGGCCGGGGGAATATGATCATTCATGGAGATGGGTGGGCCCATCTGGGTAATATGTAGAGTAGGATATTATAGACAGCTGGGCTGAAGAGAGATGTAAGGCAAATATTGTTATATAGACGGGCGGGCCGACGTGGGTGTATTACATATATGGGTGGGCCGAGGTAGGGGAATATTACATAGACGGGTGGGCTGACGTAGGGTGTATTACATATACAGGTGGGCCGACGTGGAATGTATTACATATACGGGTGGGCCGACGAAAGAGATATCAAATAGACCGGTGGGCCGAGGGTGCT